TATATATACATATATATATATATATATATGTATATATATATAGGCCACAGTCTCATTTGACCAAAACCAAAGTAATAATAATATACAGTATTTCACCAGAACTAATCTATGTCAGTCAGCCCATGCCGTACTAGTCTGGCATACACCTAGAACATCTTTGAAAGAGACAGACGCATTTTTTTGGGGGGTGGCGCCTGCGCAAAGAGTTCGACAACAAGCAGTGTCTGTCTGCGATCTCACAGTAGGGAGGAAGCATGTGCGTCACTCACACTCCGCAAGCAAAGCCATCAGAAGACTCAGACTTATGTTCGTGAGCCATTATGAAGGACATAATTATTACAAAAGAATATGGTGCAACACATTTTTTTTCTACCCAAAATCCTGTATTATAAAAACATCCATGGTAGTGCAGTTACAAACTTGTTTCTATGATCTCCATTAAATTATATTAAAATCACATGACATCATATGTCATTTGTAGCCAACATATAAATATGCACATGTGAAGTTATTCTTTGTCCACGTTGGTATTTAAGAGAATTTCCTTCCTCTGGTAGAACATGACTTATTACCCAAAGGCAATCCTTTTTTTTTTCTTCTTCAAAAACCTTCAAAGGTTTTGACATAATTCAGAAGTCTCAATCTGCAAAATGACAGCATCATATAAAATGATGCACGTGCAGAATGATTGTCTCTCTCTCAGTTATATTCATTGTCGCGCTCCATCTGCCTCGGGTGCTGACTTGTCTGTTTGATCGAGATTCCAGGATGTTTTTTGTTTTGTTTTTTTATTTTGCATTCAGCAGTCACTGTTAATATGCATTCTTCCCAGAGACATGGGATGTCGGATAATTGCTGGATTAAATCATTATAAAACAGTTGCTTTTTATTGATCGACTCCAATAACAGAACAGTGGCGTGGGCAACCGGGGAAGAGGAACAACAAATCCTACAACTTAAGAACACAGAAAACCATAATACTTAGACCAATCTGCCTCCTCCAACTAACTCACTTACATAACCTGCATAAAATGAGCAAACATTTAACTCTATCTTTAGAGATGAATAGGCAGATATTAAGAAAAGCAAACACCCTAAGGGTCTGGATAATAGTAAATTTGACCTTTTCTGGTCGTATATTCATTTTTGTCAGCGTTCAGTTTCTGCAATAGGAATGGTGAGCACAATGTATTTTTAAATATGTTCAACAAAAATAAGCGTACCCTGTTTCACATCCCAGCTACCCCCACTGCACATTTCAGCAGGTTGACAGCTGTGACAAAACATGTTTTTCTCAGCCTACCGTCAATGCACAGGCTTCCTGTCCACTGAAGTACAGCAGCAATGCTGTGCAGTGATAGCTGCAATAACTCGCCGGAATACTCTCAATCGTGCTGCAAAAGTTTTTGAGGAAGAGTTGAGCGTTCTTTTTAATGGGATGTGTTTGAGTGAGGAGAGGGCTAAGAGCACTGCTCGGTGATACCCTGGTGCTGTACAACATGTGTGGATGTGCAACCTTGCGAGAAAGTCCGGGGTCTTTTTGTAGGTGTGATGTGCTGATGTCCATGTGAGATTTGATAAGTTCAGACGGTCTCACAGTGGTAAATATTGATTGGTGGTTGGGTTACGTATGATGGTTCAGGGAGGAGTTCAGGATGGCGCTTATGCAATGAGTCTTGGGTGGTTACTGGGCGTGATTGAAAAGTGTCAGGGACAGAGCCTTCATTGTGGCTGTAACAACACTCTGGAACTCCCACCCAATATCCTCATTGCTCCAACCCTGGACATCTTTGAATCATCCGTCAAATCCCACCTCTTTGCCTTAATCTGTCGTTCAACCTTTCCCTTGGTCTGTTTTGTGTTTCTTTTGTCTGTTAGTGTTTCCCTTCATCTGTTTCTTTCACCCCCAAAACTGTCACTCAGGCTCATGCAAAGCACCTTGATTGTTCTGGAAGGCACTATAGGTTTGTCCAAACACTTCGGAAAGCTGCATTTGGGCTTTCTGAGATAGAAAGATCTTTATTATTCTCTCGGGAGTTCCGTTCGGGAAATTAAGTAAGGAGTTGTCTATGAAGATTCTCAGTCATCCAGGTCATGGTCAAGGTTGGTCAAGAGGCGAAACGTCTTCTTGACGAAATTTCATGTCCAGTTGCCTAACAGAATTCTTCAACACTATGGACGAGTTGTTGCCCATCCAGGATTTTTTTTTCTGATTGTCTTCTAAATGGTGACTGTCTTTGCTGATGTGTCCAATAACAGAGGACATGTCTTGTCTGAAGACAAGTACTGGCCATTTCATTTAACAATCATAGTGAAGTAGGTCCACACCGTGCTCCCTTTCTTGTTGGGGCAAGGACATCGCCGTTCTACTTTCTCTATTCACATTAACACCTGAAATTGTCTTTGTACCAGTCGACTTGATCACGTGGAGTCACTGCTCTGAGCCGGTCAGTGGACATGAACGGATCAGTTTAATGTTACGTAACTGGGTGGTGTTGCAGCTAAAAAGCCTCTATGTAGTAAGTCACCCTAAAACAGTGCTTCTTAAAGTGTAGGGCTAATACACCAGTGTGGTAGTACCTAAGACCACTGCCATAAAAGAAAATAAACATTTGTGAATTACCTTGGAGAATAAAATGAGCAGTATTTCCTTTTTTTTTCTTATTGTAATTGTTCGTAGGTTTGTGGGTTATTAAGCAACCAGATTGCAGATTGCAACAAGGGGATAAAAGCTGTGGGCTGGTCCAGTGATTTTGGCACTAAAAGATTGATTTCTCCTCCCAGATAGCAGCGGGTGGAGCAGGTGACATGCTGAGTATTTTTCAGAAAATTAAAAACTGCAGGCAGTGAGACGTGTATGCGGCGTCATTCCTAAGAAAGGGTAGTTTCAATGATTTTTGCTGCTGATTTCTCTGAAGAGCCCATCGTTCAACGACTGTAACAAGAGCGATCGAGGGCAGAATCACGCACAAATTATATATCCAATAATTCCACCGCCCTCATAAACAATGAATTCAGTGTTTTTTAGATACACTGCAGGTACTTTAGGCACCGCAGCGTCATAACCTGAAAGTGATAATGTTTACATTTTAGAGCGTCAGCATTTTTCCATACATATCTGGGGAAAACACTCAGGACTAAGTTCACTGTGTTGTGGTACTGTTGAGTTTATCTTTTTCTATGTTCATCTTGATTTTGCTTTGTTATTTACTTCATATGTTAAAAAATGTTAAATTAATCCCTATTTTTTTTAGCTTTTAATGCATATGTTGTGCTGGTGTTTTTCCAGCTTCATGTCATTTCTCCACTTCCCATCACATGAATGTATTTCCATACTAAAAAGTTTTCCTTTTAATAAGAATTTGCTTCATGCATTGTAAATGTTCCATCACTGATATATGCACCTTAATCATTGCTTAATGTGTGCCGCCATGACAGCCACTCTGGTTTACTACTTAAGCTCCAGTTCACTTTGTGCAGATGTGGGTCATGCTAACAACTTGTACAAAGTACCATATTTTCTGGACTATAAGCCACTGCGGAGTATAAGTCGCACCAGCCAAAAAATACATCATGAAGAAGAAAAAAACATATATAAGTCGTTCCGGAGTATAAGTCCCACCAGCCAGCTAGAGTGCCCTCTAGTGACTGTCAGTGTGAAAATAACACAAATGTGAAATTATATATTTTAATATATAAATCGCACCAGAGTCACAAACCCAGCCAGAGGAAGTAAAAAAAAAAGCGACTTATAATCCGGGAAATATGGTAAATCATATAGCGCTTTTGCCTCTCTGTAACACCATTTGCTTTGCACTCCATACTAGTGGGTAGTTAATTAGATTGCTTAGTTGCCCTGAAAGTGAAAACTTCACCAAAGAAGATTTGTTTGTTCTTGCCATTTTGTCAGGAAGCCACATTTTGTGTGCAATTTGTTTTTTTTACTGAACTCGCAAGCTAATAGCGCAGAGTAGTCGTACATTTCTATTTTTCTATTTTCACACCTTTGGAGTTTGGCATGTATCCTCTCCCACTGAGTATGTTGAACAAGGCCAAGGTCCCTCCTGCCCCAACAACTCCTTCCACTGTACTCCTCTCTGCTGGTGAAGGTCTAACAAAAGCCTGTTTAACTTGCATTTCCAAGAGCGGTGAGGAGCCTGTTTGTCTCTTTCTGTTCTAAATGATGTCCAATTATCGGTGTGAGCGAGATGGGCTTCAAAAAGAAGGAGAAGATTTGGGACTACAGAGAACTGTCATGCATGGCTCTAATTGGAGGTAAGTTTCACATTGGTATTTCTGATGATACTGCACTTGCAGTAGATTGCATGTGGGTTGGAGGAAAAGAAGGGTAAAATATGGAGAAAAAATAAATTAACTGTGGGTAGAGTGTGAAAAAAAAGAAAATAAGATTTAAAAAAAGAAGAGGGAACTGGTCCAACTGCAGTCTGTCTTCACGAGGTCGACTACAGCTGTCTATTAAAAACTGTCGGCCTGGTTTTTGTGCCTTCCGCCCTACAGAAAAACCTCCACCCTTATCTTTCAGATAATAGTTGCTAAACTAGCATGATAAACCACTGCTTTTCTCAAAATGTCAAATTTAGTTTGACATTAGTACATTCAAAACCCACAAGACACCAATTATTTGAAACTTCTCAGTGAGAAAGAAAGGAAGGGATGAGACGAGGAGGTGCGGTCAAAAAACAAAACAAAAATATTGGCAAAGATAAAAGAGAGTCATCCGTTTGTTGATAAGTGATTTGCATTGAGTGACAGAAAAGGAGGTGAAAGACCCTGTTTTTCCTTCTTTAAATAAATGACAGAAATCCCTCTCCCCCGCATCACGTGGAACGGAAAAAAGACAAAGTTATAAAACCAATTAATTAGATGTTTTTAATTACTTGGAACTCTATTTGTTTGATAGTGGCTGAATTACGAAAGCTAATCAAAAACAAAAAAAAAAGAAAAAGAAAGAAAGTGTTTTCTCCCTCCTTATTGTTTTTGCCCCCCCTCTCGTCTTCCGCCTCCCTTTTTCCCATCTCCGCCTCTTCCTCATGCATTTTTATTTGACAGAAAATAGACTACTGCTTAGTAGCCTGTCTTGACTGAGGAAAATAAAGAATTTCATAAATCCTTACGGAGGCTCACATTTTTTAAGCCAAGACTTTCATATGTAAAATTATGTCTTTTAGGTGTTTTTTGTTTTTTTTGCTATATTTTACAAAATAACAAAAATTTCACAAGATCGGATTAGAAAAATTCCGTGATGTACTGAAAGGAGAACTGTGATATAGAGAGGGCAGTGTGTATATACTTTATATACTTTATATACTTTATATACTTTATATATATATTTAAAATCTCTCAAATCACCACTTTCGGTGTCGGTAGAGCTTGTGGTTAAACACATAATCCCACACACCCCTGGAGTCAGTGATTTTCTGGGCCTTCTTGTTTCAGTCTACATAAAATTAGCATGCAGTCCTCCGTGAGACTCCCATCTCCCTTCTGGGCCCTGTTCTTTTCTGTTTCCGTATCGACTCATCTCTTCCTTTTTTCCCCGCACATACTGCCTGCATTCCTATAGCACAGACATTCTCTAAGGAGCTGAATAAAGTAGCCAATGAACAGTGAGCATTAATAAAAGAAGAGTGTTGGAGGAAAGAAGTGGCCTACTTTTAACACTTGTCACTTACATACCCACCCCTCCTCTTTTCTTTCCTAATTATACTGCCTAACAATTTTATCTTTTTTCCCCTTTTGTATCAGGTCCTCCCAGTCTGACGCCCCCATAGCTGAATATACGTTCATGGAATAAGAGCAGACAGAAGGACATTTACTGTGTCAATTCCCTTAAGAGATTTCTCTTTAAATTACCTGTTAAATTGCTTTAAGGGGTAAGACTTTTGCACGGCCGTGTTTGCATGTACGTGTGTGTGTGTCAGTGTGTGTTTGTGCAGGCGGTGTTTAATGGAAGCTTACAGAGCATTTTTCTTTCTCGATTTCACACGTGCTTTACTATCATGAAGCTTGAGACGTAGCATTTTAAAAAATAAATTACAGTAATAAAGTAAAGAAAAATAACGCTGTTAATGACTGAGTTATGAATTAGGGGCAAATGTCCTTATTACACCTTAAGTACCATTATTTTTTAAAAACATATTTATTGTACATTATGACACACTCACAAATGGTGAACAACACAAAAGGGTAAGTTAAATATTTTTGTGTGTATATACTGTATATGTATATAGATACATTTATAAGTATATATATGTATATATACTGTAAATAACCGACTGCCGACTAAGGTGGCGGTTAGAGTCCCTGATTATTAAAATGGATTCAAAAAGCGACCTGCTATGCTGCCATCTAGTGACATTCACTTTCATATACAGCCGTTTTTCCCCCAAACTATTTTTAGGGCACACATCATTTGGTGAAACCCAGACATTGCGTTATCAGGTTTTCAATATCGGAGGAAAAACCGATAACGATTCTTACAGATATTACATAATTATGCTAATATCGGGCCGATAATATTGGTTGGCCGATATTATCGGACACCCCTAATTTTGAGTTATACCTTTGTACAATTTACTTGAAATGTTTTCATACTAAAACGTCAATCTTTTAGATCAATTAGAAAGTAAGTCTGGTGTGACACGTACGTCTATAACCTGCGGCTATTTTTCGTTCTTTACAGCAATTTACAGAAAAAATGAGTGATAAATCCACAGCTACATCTCTCAACATTGACAGCCCTTACACAGTAATACATACGGTGTAACGATTTTTCATGGTTCAACACTTTAAATCAGTTACTTACCAAGGGGAGCCATAAATCCTAAAGCCTCCTGCGTTGGCCTCTGAGTCCTGCAGGTAGATGCAGTTGGTGAGTAGCGCCTGCACGTTCTCAAAGTTCTCTGACTTCAGTTTGGATGCTGAGGGAAAGTAATAAAAGTCCTGCTTGATCAGGTCTGCCATGAACTCTTGGTCAAAGGTCAGTTCATGGTTTCCAGCAATTACTATCTTGATTTCATAGGGCAGGGTACCTAAAGAAAAGATGACAAAATGGAGCAAAAATAGGCAAAAAGGTAAAACGCAACAAGGTAAACAAATACCGACTGCACAACAATTACACAATGGCAAGTTACAAAGGAAATTGCCGGGAGAATGAGTGCTAACAATTAGGCAAGGATGAGGACAAAAATTATATACATTTGATGTACCGTATTTTCTGGACTATAAGTCGCACTTTGTTTCATCCTTTGGCTGGGTTTATGACTTAAACTCAGGTGAAACTTATATATTAAAATACGTATATTTACATGTTTGTTATTTTCACACTGACAGCCACTAGAGAGCACCCTAGGCTTGTGTACCAGTATCTGCTACACTAGAGGGCACTCTAGCTGGCTGGTGTGACACATATTGTTTTGTTTTTTTTCTTCATTGTGCATTTTTTGGCTTGTGCGACTTATACTCCAGAGCGACTTATAGTCCGAAAAATACGGTACTTCAAGGCATGACCCACAACTGCACAAATTGAACTGGATCTCATCTTTTTGCTGCCTTTTTCTCTTGAAAATTATTGTTTTATTATTAAACACTAAACGTTTGTGGTTTTGCAGTGGTTCATTTTACCACTGCAAAAACTGAAAACGTCACAATTGACTTATATGCGAGTTTTTGTATGTACAGTATATCTATGTATGTATATATAATAGCCACATATATATAAATGTATATGTGGCTGTATGCATATATGTATATATGTATATGTATAACTCTAAAACCCAGGGCACCAGGTGAGACTGATGGTGAGTGTGATCACAGGGAAGGGAGACTGACAGACCTCACAATTTATGTTCTGATAGAAATGTAGGCCATTTTGATGTACAAAATACAAACTGGAGAGGAATGCTGTTACCGACTGAGTTGGCAACGAGGAGTCAACATGTACTTTCATTTCTGCCAGTAGCACCTGGCACTCAGTATGTTGAAATGTATTAGCATGTGTGTTTGTGACATTCTAACCAGTGTGAGTTCGTAAGCATCTGCGCACAAGTGATATATGAATGAGTAATTAAAGCGGGATTTGAAGGAAGCTGAGAGGCTGGCAGTGGTGTTCTCACAACAACCAATCCCAGCCTAGTAAATAGAAAGACAAAAAGAAAGGACAAGTAAGCGAGATGACAGAAATCCAGTAATTTTGGGAGCAGACAAATAGTGGTGTGTGAAGGAGGAATAATGACAAGATGAAAGCAGCTGTCACAGAGTGACTGTCTTCCCAGTTTCTGCCTGAACTGTTCGGCAGATAAGCCTGTGTTTTGATGGCAGGCAGACACTTGCAAAGCCTCTTAAATGAAGGGCTGCACTAACACAAGAGCCCATGTTCACACCCACACCACAGCACAACAATGCATTTTTTAATTGCGTCTCATCAGACTTTGACATCTGAGACAGGTTTTGTCTCAGGTCTCTGTGGCCTGAGATAAACTATGGTGATTTTGTCACTTGAAAAAAAAAACCCTCCAAAATTTCATAATTTCCCACCACATTTACAGAAACGCAAATTCTGAAAAGCCATGGCATTAGAGCTAGGTCAATATCACGTTACTGTGGTAAGCATTTAAGTCAATGGCCAAACTGTTTGCCATTTTTTTGGACTATATTCATATGTTTCAAACTGTTTGCCATTTTTTTGGACTATGTTCATATGTTTCGGAGTGATGCACTGATCAATCAGTTTTTTAGCATTGTCAGCCCTGTTATTCATCATATGTATTTCTAGTTCGCAGCTAATCTTTTTTAAGCTTATGTTCTGCGTGGGAAAACGCGAGTGGAAGCTCATACTCAGATACTGAGGCTAACGTGTTGTTAGTTTGAATGTAATTTTAAATAAGCTCCAAGCTTACTATCTGCATTGAATTTGACAGTTAAGTTAACCGTGGGAGAAACGATGGGAAGTTGTTCTGAATGACAAACATAATCCGACACTTAAAACCTCAGCTGTTTTGATTCAGCGGACCGACCTTGCTTCAATGTGCATTCTGATACAATATACCGTATTTTCCTGACTATTAGTTGTATTCATCCTTTGGCTGGGTGTGTATACTAAGGTGCGACTTATTCAACATGTTTGTTATTTTCACACTGGTAGCCGCTAGAGGGCACTCTAGGCTTGTGTACCAGTATCTGCTGCTCCTGTAGCACTGAAAATGTCTTTTTTTCATCCTTTGGCTGATGCGACTTATACTCCAGAGCGACTTATAGTCTGGAAATACGATATATTTTATTTAAACATGGATGTGTGTGGATGGAATGTGTGCATCAGGATCAACTCCCAGGCGATCAAGGCCTAGCCCTGCCTATGCACTGACAGTACTGAGCCTGCAAATGGCATAGGTGTGCGCAATACCTCCCTCACTAAAAAGCAGTTTGCTCTAGAAAACAGTTGACAGTTGACAGCGTTCTGACCAGCTCCTTCACCACATGGTTTAGGCAAAATCCTTGTATTACTCCTCATTCACCACGAGAGGTCAGAGCAACCCCAGAGCCCTGTCTATTGATGAGCATATTGTCCATGACCTTGTTATCAAAGCTAGGCGTCATGGGTGTGGGTGTCATCAGTATAGCAATTTTCACTGCTATGCTGATGACACCCACATTTACATTCACACTAAACCCTCCTATCCTCTCCCTCCCTCCAATCTGGTCACCTGCCTTGAAGTTTCCCATTCCAGAGTTCAGAAAGAAACTCCTACAGTTGGGCAGTAAATATTTATTATATGGAAGTTAAAACAAGTTAGTAGCTGAGCGGGAGTGTGCGAGTGAGATTGAATGACTTAGTGACAATGCATATACTTTTCTGCTTTTTAGATGCTTCATCATTTCCTACTTCTGTTTCTTCTCACATTCGCATTTTTAGTTTTTATTCTTGACGCTACGAGCTAATCTCAAGACTGTCTGTTCCCTATCGGCGTATCCATGTTTTGTCCGACTCTCTACCTTTCTTCCTTTGTCTATCTTCCATCTGTTAGAGAGTTCCCATCTGTCTGTTTTATTGCCAAGTTTTTTAATTATCCCTCCTTCTAACTTGTGTCAACCTGTCCATCTGTCTTTCTGTGTAGAGCTGCACATCTGTCTGTGTTTGCTCTACCTTCTATTTAATTTCTCTACAACAATCATTCTTCCTGCCTTTTTGCGTATTCCTCTTCCTTCTGCTCTCTATCTGGTGTGTGCTGCTGGCTGTTTTGCCTATTTGTGGTTTTCTCGAGTTTTCCTTTATTTCATCCCTTATGTTTCTCTATGTCTCTTGCTAGCGATTGTTTTTATTTTTTTCTGATTATATTTCTTTCTTTTTGAATTTCCCTTGGTCTTCCTTTCATTTACATGTTTATATATGATATATGACGAATAGTGTATAATAGTGTACTTTAATAATAATATACCGTATTTTTCTGGACTATAAGTCGCACATTTTTTCATCCTTTAGCTGGGTTTGCGACTAATTTCATGTGACAGACGCTAGAGGGCACTCTAGGCTTGTGTACCAATATACTACTCCTGTATCACTAAAATGTAGATGTTCGCTAGAGATACAAACCAAGAAACAATACATATTTTTACTTTAAAATACTCTTTGTTATTTAAATTTAAGAGAGTTTCAATAATACATGAGCCGTTTTTATTAGTACTGCGATAACGTGAGATGAAGCCAAAAATACTACATAAACAAAACAGTGCTGTGTTTATCTGAACAAAATTAAAACCACCACGTTGTAGTATTTACTTCCAGTCAGTCACTTACAGACTGGTGGATGGTGGAAATCTATTTGAGAATTTGGTGCAGCCTCTCATAAGTCATGTCAGAGAAGAGTCAGTGTGAGGCTCTTGTCATGTTTACTACATAAACATGTCTATAATCTATTTCAAAGCGAAGAGTATTTGTGTAAACAAGACTTAAAATTTCACAAATATTCCCCTGGGTTGTTGCACCTTTCACCATCATTAGTCAACTTTTTATGTTTAATTTTATTTCCTGCAGATCGTCAAAATGACACGTTGAAGAAGAACTTCAAATTGGAGTTCCTCAGTAACAGTACTTTATTACAAATGTACTCTTTTTTTTATTGGTTAATCTCAACTTAGCTCAGCCTAGCAATAACTCCTGAAGTTTACCTTCCTCACTGATCTGGAGCAACATCAAAAGGTACTGACCTAGCCAGTCATTAAACTTCTTGACCTCAGAAGGTAGTCCCAGTTCTGTGAAGTCTCCGGCATGGATCAAAATGTCCCCATACGGCATCTGGATTGTGTCAGTGCGGGAGTGAGTGTCTGAGATACATACAAATCGGGTGTAGCCGGGGGGCTTGGGAGTGTCGTGGGACATCGGGTTCACCCTACGAAAAATCAAATAAAAGAAGATGGAAAGTTGAGAGTGAAAGTGCAAGACAGTTAAAAATGTCGCCGAGCTATTTGGTTGAACACCCAAAAATAAAAAAGTGTTGAAATGGTATACTTCTACAAAAATGAACCAAGACAGAGATAAATAATCAATAATGACGACAAATTTCATGACAGATAATAATTGAGAAACCACTGGTATAAACCAAAAAAACATCAAATATAAAACCTCAAGGTCCAAGAAGAGTCAAAAGAAGGGGGTGGCGTAGCGACTCAATGTGGTCATGTAATGCAACACTTTTATCCAAACAACAAATATACCTTTGGCAACTTGGCTCAGATTGGCTTGACTCGACACTGAAACCTGAAACCTTGCGGACCCAAGTCCGCTTCCTTAACCACCAAGCCACCACTTCCAAGCCACCACTTCCCCCTAGTAGATGTTGAGGCATCAAATACTGCAGACATTTCTGATGAGATGTGACTTTGGAGACAAACCTCTGGGAATAATAGCACATTGGAAACAGTGCGACCCACAGGAACTAATGTTACCTGTATAGCCTGAGCCAGGAAGGATGACTGGGTGATGAGGAGTGTTAATTAAATGAAGGATATCCCCCTCCCTCTAGGGACAGCTCCACTGGCTGGGACTGAAGTGTTAGGCATCTCTGACGATGTCCGTCTAGGGTCCTAACCTCCAAAGCTGAGGGTGAGTTCCCACTGTGGGTCACATTATGGGGTGAAGGTGACTGTGTGGAGAAGAGGCACAGGTAAGGAGCCGATTACGAGTTCCTTCAGTTTTGCCTCAAAGTCAGTCATGGCCAGTACTGTAGGATATATTCACTGGAGGCACTGCAGGACGCTAGGTGAGGTTCAAATGTAAGTGTTTTTATGAACAAAACCCAATCAGAAGCAGTTGTACAAAAATGGGTGCGGATGGAATGAATGAATGAAACGTAATGCAACAAATTGTCCAATGTGTAAAATGAATATCTGATCCGTTATTTTCAATTCTAGCTCTCGTTTTTACTGTCACCCGTTCGATCCCGGCGACGTACGCACCTCGCTCCTCCCCACACACAAAATCTCACTCCTGCCAGACTGACCAAACTGGCTATGCTAGCATAAAATGGACACGTTTGAGGTGCTTCGAAAGTTATAAAAATGTTTCTAATGAACCAAAGTAAGGGCCCAGCAGAGAAAGTTTGAGAACCACTGACCTAATCAATGTTGGGACTCTACCCTTGCCTTGCCTTACCCTCTAAACCTGCCACAGCTTTATCTGGGAAATAACGACCATCTTTCCAAATACCAACTTTTCAAAAAATCAGAAAGCATTTGACTTTGATTGACATCTATTCAAATATTAGTATAAACAAGTAACTAAAGGGTGTCCTTGTCACCATCTTGAAGTACACAATTATTATTTTATCTCAAGTGTTTACACATTCAAATGAAAATCAACACATTAGACTCTAATTGGTAAATAACAACACCTATCTTTCAGGCAGGTTTGGGTAAGAAAGGATTAAGCTCAGGTGCCAGGGAGAGGACGGGGCGTGAGGGGCGTCCAATGAAATATGGCATGCTGGACATAGGTGAATCACTGCTGTAATGCTTGAATAATAAACAAGCCTCCAGTCACTAGGTGGCAGCAACTCATACAATGGATTGTACAGGTAAAAATATACATGTTATCAAGTTCTCAATAGTATTTCAATTCAAGAGGGTGTTGTTGGGGTTGGAGGTGTTGGCGTGAAACACTTCTGTCCCCAAGAGACAGATAATAATTGAGAACCACTGGGTTGAACCATTTTCCACCACTACTCAAAAAAGGTTTTAATTTACTCACATGTGAACATGTGGTGGTTGAAATCGTCCCTGGTTGATGTTGTAGAAAGTGAAGGCCTGAGTTGGGTTGGTGCTATATTCATCCACCTCTACCGTCTTGTTGCCTCGGTGCACTCGTGACTGACTCTGTGGCTGCTGTCGCCTTATGGCCATAATCTCTGACAAGGTGAATGCCATAACGAAAAAAGGAATTGGATGCAAATATTGTTCTGCTGCTCCTCCCTAATGGTATCCTTTTCTTCTCTGCACCTAAGACAAAAGAGACGAGGCAGAAGTTAGCATACAGCATGTACAGGGCTAGTCAAAAACTGCTAAAATAATTCAAAAAGTTTAAAAAGCAACATTATTTTAAGCATAATTAAAGTTTTAGGGATGCACCAAATATTCAGTCCAAAAGTCCACTTTCGAGTTTTAGCCCGAAAGACTTATCATCGAAACAAGATATCTATTTGAATCCCCGGCACTTCATCATGGCTGTACTCGATCCGTGTAGTAAAGGGGGCAGAGGGACGTGACGCCCTCAGATCTGTAGTGACCCCGGTCCTCCCAGACGCCCAACTGTTCATACATAAGGCTACAAAAATCGCCGGTAAAACAGAGGACTAATGTCCCGTTAGTGCACTGTAACTAATGTTGCGGTAAAACAGAGGACTAATGTCCCGTTTGTGCACTATATATAATGGTACGTTGAAGTTGTACACAAATGTCAGAAGTTCCACTGTTAAACTTATGCAAGAACATACAGTATACTGGAAACAGTCGACCGGTAGAAGCCGTAACACGGCGCCATTGTTGAACGATCATTAGGCTTTCAAAATAAAACATCTTTAAGACTTCATTTTGTTAGTGTCTGAGACTTATTTTGAAACATTGTCAGATTATCTTTGAATTAAAGATAGTAAAGGGATATGACTGGATTATTTTTTAATTAAGAGAATTAGTAAAACTGAAGTATTGTACATTTTTTCACTGTGTCCTACTGCGGCCCGGTACCAAATGGCCCATGGACCAATACTGGTCCTCCGACCAGGGGTTGGGAACCCCTGATTTATTGACACATAAGTGGGATCAAGTTAAACATTTGATTTTATATTGTGCATTGTTAGAATGTGCTAAATACATATTTTCAAATTTTTAAATTTTGATTCCAACTGAGTACATTTTTACATTCAAAATGTGTTATAGTAGTTACACTGGTGCTGTATTCACACTTGATGTGGGTTTTTAGGGACACTTTAAAAGTGTTGAAATTAACGATAATGGTGTCAATACGAGGAATTTGCCTTCCTCGTTTTTTCTTGTCACCCACTGGAATTACTGGAAAAAACATTACTGTATAAAGAAAATACAGGCTTTTTTTTTCTTCTTTTTTTACCTCCTTCAAATATGTATGAATTAGACAGGAATTATAAAGAAAGAGATCTGTCACAGCCAAGTTGGTTTGATTTACTGCCTGTAGGGGTAGCTAATTTTTTTTCTCAGTAACACAGGAGATAAATGTCATTCATGGTCACATTCCACTTTCTCATTTACTGCTTCATTCTATTACTGGTCATAAGCAGCTAACTGGGAAGTGTCAGTGTTTAAGAAATACAGCATTTATATAATTACTGATTCACAGTGAATATTAATGGGGAGAAAATGGGATCATAAATGATGGCACCAGCCCAGATATGCTGTCTCTTGAATTCTATACATTATTTCTCTTACCTGTCAAATACTGGCAAGTAATACCTATCATGCCATCCCACTCCTGACAGCTGGTCAGAGTGTCAGGTGTGTTCTGCTTATTAGAGTCAGTAGAAATAGTGAGGAACGGGGGCCACATGCATTCAGTTACTTTAAAAAGGAAAAAATTCACACCCACAGCCCAAAAACATACTGTTGAATAAGTACCATATAATATATGTATAATATTATATAATATATAATAATGTGTATATGTAATATATATTATAGAAAACTGTATTACCAAAACACACTTACTTGCAATTGTATGTATTTTTATTTTTACAATGTTAAATTGTAAGTGTAATTATAATTATTCTTTGTCATCTATTTAAATGTAATTTCATTGATGTGAGTTTGATTATAAAGTGATTAATAAAATAAAACTGAAACAGATGTAATCTAATCTGATCCAGTGCAGTAAATAAAAATCTATTCTTATCAAATCTAATCCAATGGGATTTAATCTGCAACAGCACCTTAATGTATGCCTGTTTAAATATCCATAATGTCTGTGTCTGCAACATTCTTAGAATTGGAAAAACAATGTTGACAAGGTTAGTTAAAAAAAAAATATTTGGGATTATTTTCAGTTGAATCAGGTTTTCTGTCATAGGTCAGCCCTTCATGTTATCTCTTCATTGTTAAACAATAGCACCAGCTTTACAAAGTAATACTGCGTTACTAAAATATAATAATGAAAAATAAGATTACACACATTTTTCACTATGGCAAATCAGGCCTTGTTATTTTGGCACACCGTGCACTCCGGAAACCCATCCACTGAGCATGCTGGGATATGCCTATGACGAAAATCTTTTGGTGTGAAGTGAGTGTCGGACTCATTGTGCTGTCAGTGAGTGTGAAGCTGCAGTAATTTAGAAACTGAGATGGCACAGTGATATTTCTCAGCAGTCCAGGCAGACTTTGTCAAACACTCCCTGAATTATCACCTCCCTCTCCTCTAGCATCGCTGTGATTGCAGCTCAGCTCTGTCCAAGCCGCCAGAGCTTTCAAAAAATGAGCTGCAGATGGATGACGCACACACACACACACACACACACACACATTTTGAAAGAAACATGCAGCACAGATGGCAATTATAGGACTCTACTGTTTATTTGATGGTGAAACGCTGCTGATTACCATATTTCTTAGTAATACTGCCACACTGTGTTTAAGACACAGCCTAAAATCCGTTTCATCACATCGTTGTTGAGATTTTAGCTTTGTTGGGTTTTGTTACATTACGTTGTTATTTCAACTCACGACAACAATTTAGAAATCAAGCGTCACATTTAAACCAAATTCATTATTAATTATATATACGGTATATGTGTATATATGTATATATATATATATGCAATATATGCGTTATGTATATGTATATGTACTGTATATATATATATATACATACATACATACATACATACACTCATATATGTATATACACACACATAAATATATATATACAGTACATATACATATACATAACGCATATATTGCATATATATATACATATATGAATATGTGTATATGTATATATGTTTTTATATGTGTGTATATATATGTATATATGTATATACACACACATAAATATATAAATATATATATACAGTACATATACATATACATAACGCATATATTGCATATATATATACATATATATACACACATATAAAAACATATATACATATACACATATTCATATATGTATATACACACACATAAATATATAAATATATATATACAGTACATATACATATACATAACGCATATATTGCATATATATATACATACACGTATACACACACACATATATATGACTATACTTAAAGAAAGAATACATAAAGAACTTGATACTATTAAACCCAATGGAGTCCGACCTATTCCATCACTCTGAAGTTTTCTGAGTTGGAGTCCGACCTATTCCATCACTCTGAGATTTTCTGAGTGTGAGTCGTGCCTTCCATGGAGGGCACCAGAGCACTTTGGGGGGAATTGGTGAAAAAGGATTATTAATCGTCAGAAAAAACGTTCCCAGGGAATATTTGCCACTTTGCGATTACAGTGGACCCTCGAGAATCGAGCTTCCCAAAATACGAGTATTCCATGTTAGGAGTCTGCAAATATTGCAAGATTTTGCTCCTGATACGAGGAGAGTGAACCCTTTGTAATAATTTCTGTTCAACATAAACATGCAGCTCATATACAAAAATTAAGTATGCCGTCCACAACAGTTATATTTCATATATTACTGCTTCTCTGTAAAAACTCTGTGAAAACTGCTAAATAATGTAAAGTTGGTGACTCGAGAGAGTAGCAACTCGCTAATGTGGCCTGGCAGAAGTTGTTCCGCTCTGAGGTTCAAATTGACACGCTTGTTACACAGGTGTGTCGTTAGCAGCTAGGGTTTGCAAACAATCATTTTGCGCATGTCGGAGAACAGGAACGGAAGCTCACACTCACAGGCTGAATCTTTAATGTTGTTAGCTATGTGCTATATGTAGCAGTAAGGCTAACTGTTGTTAAGAACAACAAACAATCATTGAGCCAAATATGTCCAGCCAAATTGACATATTTATGTATTTATTTTTTTCAAATGAAGTGTTATCAGGCGTGTGGTACAGAGGAAGATTCATATTCTGCCAGGTCATTGTTTCTGAAAAGTCCCTACAAAAACAGATCTTTTTTATGCACATATTTGTTCAGAAAGTTGGATACACAGAAACCCATTTTTTATTTAGTACCTCATTCAAGTCACCCCAGAGAGGCGTTTCATAATAAAACTTTGGCTGAAAATGACTTTACTTTTTTTTATTGTTATATAAAGTTCTCGGCAAAAATCAATATTGACAAGTTGCGTTGCAATCAGAGTTTCTCTAAATTAAAACAATTTTTCTAAAAAAATCAAAAAATCAAATGTAATTAATTTTTTTTAATTGAATTAAATATTGAATATATTTCCTTCACTTTGCTTCAACTAATTTAAATGTATAACGTTCCTCCAAGCCTAGCCAAGGCTGGTGGAGCAACACACGGCTTAATGCCCATAACGGTCCATGTTTGGTTACAGTCCTCCATTTTGCAATGTATTACTATTGATTTCCATTTTACTCGTTTCACTGAAGTAACTTTCACATATAAATACTACACACTAAAGTACCCCAAGCTGTTTTTCTTCACCTAATATTCTCTCATACTCAGCGTGCTGTTGATTAAAACCTGATCTTTTAATGATGCGTACCGGATATATTCATTAGATTCGCTAGATTCGTTAGTTAGATCTGAAGGCGTCGATGCATGCGTACATTTGTAAAAAAAAAAAAAAAAAAAAAAGGCCTGATAGTTTCGAGCAACTCCAAGGGCACAAAACGCACAGAAACAGATGTATGACAATATATAATCCATCTGAGAAAAACCATCTTGTATTTTTTTTTCTACTACGTGCTGGTCAGTGATAAGACTTCAGGTCGGTGCTTGGAGCTGAGGATGCAGAGTTCCACCTACCTGTTTCGCGTGTAGAGCTCCAGCGGAGGACCAGCGGTGAGCGATACAAAAACGCGCTGGTCAGTTTGAATGCAGACCCCGTGGTGCACCAGCGCGTAAAAGGTTGTGTGTGTGTGTGTGTGTGTCTCTCTCTCCCTCGCTCCCTCTCTCTCAGTGAGGATGCAGCGGGGAGGAGCTGAGAAATAGGATGACTGAGGAGCGGAACAAGAAGAGGAGAAGAAGAGAAGCCTGCGCTGCCATTAAAACTCCTCCTTTCAGACCGTGATTAGCCCACTAGCTCTGAGGGCAATAACCAGCCATGATACCCCACGTTCTCATGGCTGATTTCCAGACTGGAGCCTGAAGTACACGCGGGATTTTTTCTCTCCTCAAGTTGTGAACACATGGTGCCGTACGTATGTGATTTGCTTTATTTAGACATATTTTTTAAAAAAAGAGGAGGAAAAAGATAGAAATCATAACATTTTTCACGTGATTCAAGAAATGCGATAACACTGATTTTCTTTTAATTTAAACTCACAAATCTTTTAGCTACTATTCCTATTACGACTTTCAGCTACTGTTACCTCTGAAGATGGCGCTCTTGAACACTTTAGATGAACTTTATCATCATTTATGCCAGTGGTTCTCAATTATTTTCTGTCAAGTCCACCAGGGGGCAGGCATTGTGTCACGGCCACGCGAATTGGAATGCTATTGATAATATGTATTTTGTGATCATGTGTATTTTCTTATCTGTACAAACAACGGTGTGAGTTGCTGCCACCTAGTGACTGGAGGCACACTTCTGTCCATCGTGTCATATTCCATTCCGTTTCGGAAGTCATGCGCCCCCACGTGGGCGTGCCCCACTATTTGAGAAGTACGGATTCATGCAAAATTGTATTAAAAATGTACCAATTCAATAACTAAAATTGCTAATTTTTTATGTAAAAAAAGCAACTCTTTACTAACTAATTATGAAATGCTTTTCCCTAATTCCTCCGACTGAGCCTCGTTATGTGTTTGTTATTCCTACAACTCTTTCTCAGAATTGTATTTACTGTACCACAATGCGCTCACTGTGTTTTTTCTACGTTTCTTGCTTCATTGATCTGTTATAACAATGTACAACTTGATTGTTTTGTAAATCTGCTTAATAAAATTTTGAAGAAAAAAAAATCTTTCAGCTGCATTTTGATTGGTCTGACAGGCTGAGCAACATCAGTCAACCATTCCAAATAAATATATTGTTAATTTGTATACATTTGTAGTTTTGTATAAGAAAAAACAATACATTTTGATTTCTCACAATCAAAGTATTGTATAGATTAAAATGTGATTTCTCACAATCAAAGTACCGTATTTTCCAGACTATTTTCCTGAAGTGCTCCGGAATATAAACCGCACACATATATAAGTACAACAATACAAATATGTGTATATATATACTGTACATATGTTATATATGTGTACGTACTATGCATAATTTTACCTCCAATTTTCTGAAGCCCTTAGCGCCCCCTGGCAGCACCCACTTTAAAAGCAATGAACAGTATACTATGTGGGAAGCAGTGAGGTTTTCCCTACTGGAAATCGCCACAACAACACCATTTACTTGCTATCCATTCATCACATTCATGACTGACACCAAGTTGTCTTTGTCATCCCAAAGTTTCTCAAAGATTTTCAAACCATCTGTAACCTAACCTGGCTGACTTGATCTATTACTGGGATACACAACTCTGACCAAGACTGAAACGCTGGCTCACAACACACACACACACACACACACACACATAAACGCAGGCTTTCAACAACCACATCCTGCAGAAAGACACAACCCTGTCTGCCACACAAATATTTACACACAAATGACTGAGACTGAGAGCAACACATACAAAGGTAATCACATGCACACAAAAACCACAACTCTGATGTTCAGATGAAAGGATCGGGGAACGAAGACACACGTGCCGCCGTGCTGTGTACAGTGAATTTGCATCCTCAAATCCTTTCTTTTAAGATAATTAGCATGGTGACTCTGGTTGGAGTGCAGTTCCTTTGAAGAGGGCACATAAGACTGAATGATCAACATCACTTTGGGTTGAAACTGTACAAAAAAGAAGAAGAAGAAGAAGCCAAATAAATGCCAGATTCTTCATCATGAAGACAAGCAGACATGTTTACTGGAAGTCAATTATGTACACACAACACAAGTTAACGGATCTCCAACGAGAGCTATCCCCAAATTGGCCCCTTCAGATGAGCAATAATTATATCAATCTGTTACACGTAGTACTTTTTCGTCTTTTTCTACAAGAAATACATTCAAATAACGGGAGTCCTTATGAGCTATTAACCTAACGTTTTATATAAGATGGAAAAATTAAAGGTAATTATTGTTTGGGTTGTCAAACGTTTACAGTTTCTATTCATATTAATGACAAGGTAATTGTGGGTAAATCATCCTGAACCATAGTCGTACTTAATTATGATTAATCATGATTAAAACAGGAAAAATAAAAATCTAGCGGTTTCCTTAGTGTAGCGGTTAGGATGCCTGCGCTGCAAGCTAAGAGCAGAGAGTCCTGGGTTTGATTCCCAGAAGGACTTCCTATTGACTCCTCACCCACATGTAAGTCTTTGGATAAATGTATTATTAAATATGTTGAGTGTTGTTTTTTCAGTCTTCAGTGCCCTCGTCTTCAACAATATCAATCAGTCTACAGACCCTCACAATCAATTTGACAGTTGTCAGTCACCCTGTCAGTCGCTTGGTATTTATAGCTTCATGAAGCAAAAACCTCTTCCCCACAGTGTGTTCAAATAACAAATGTGTCTATTAGAGCAACAATTGGATATACAACAGTAAAATATAAGAATAATTCTATGTTATTTTTTTTTTCAATTCACTGACAGGCAGCACAGCTGAAGGAATTCTCCTTAGTTGCATAGAATTTCAAAATTGAAATTTGCTGAAAGTGATTCAGAAGTATAAAGTATTTTATTGTATTATTAATCTATTCATTTGATTGTTAAACAGCAGGGAAACTAATGATATGTACAAAGTGTGCAGTACTGTAACGTGACAAAAGATAAGAGGGCATTTCTACAAAGTGCAGAAACAGTAGAGCACAGACTATATATAATAACAAGATCAGCATCTGTATGATTAGCAAAAGAAATTATATTTTTTCAGCTATTTTATAGGAAATTTGCCAAGAATTTGTGAAGGAAAATGTCACGCTGTGAAATAAATGTGCAATATATACAAAGCCTTGATTGATTTTGATTTCAGTACTGACCAAAATAATCATGACTAGGGATTAGGTATGTCCGATATTAACTTTTTGCCGATATCCAAACACTTAATTTCCGATTCCGATATCAACTGATACCGATATATGCAGCCATTTGGGTTAAAGGGAGAGGACAAATTTCATTGTGTGCAGTGGTGATTCACATTTTAAAAAATATATTTTGTGGTGTTTTTTTACCTCCCCAAAACCTTAATGACATTTCCCGTAATCCATGACTTGATTTAGCAATCTGTTGGTCGACTGTTGGCTAGAGTGTTGCCGATGACAGATGAGCCGAGATCAACAGCCAGCTGAAGAAATCGAGTGTTTCCTGATGCTTCCAGGAATATTACACTAGCTAATGGCACAGGCCATCAATGTTAGCCATAATGTCTGCTGACGGAAAACACAGCTGGCCAAACACGCAGCCATATCTAATCAACAAGGTCAGAGGTCATGATGAGGCGCTATCAGTCTTCATTTTGCCTTCCTGTCAGAAGCTGTTGCCATCAGTGCAAATAGAATAAAACATCATAGTGGACAGTCACTCGTTCTCTCTCTCTCTCTCTCTCTCTCTCTCTCTCCTGCACTGCTTTGCCAACCCTTTCCTTCAAGTATCTTTAAACTTATCATCACCAACGTCTAACCTAAAAGGGGTCAATTGAGGAATTAGTATAGTGCTATTAAAAGGTATTTCCAGGATTGTTTTTTTTTCAGCGACATTTTGAAAAATTATTTAATAATTAAACTATTTTTAAGCAAAGAGGAAGGGTGACTGGTAATTTTAATTGCTAAAATTTGCCTTTTGTAGACATATAGAGTGCGTACTATACTGGTACTTTTAAAATTCTGACATTTGACTATTGAAGTCTATTGAAGAACTATGAATAATGCAGTGCATAATGTAAGATATTAGTGATAAAAATCTATTTATCCAACCTGGACTTGCATACAACTGGTCTATTATAGCACGGACCAAAGAATGAACAGTAGGGGTTAAAAGAAACACTTTATTATCATTACTGTTGTTGTTCATTAATAGTTTTGTTGATGGTCATGATGTAGATGACTGCTACTCCTCTCTATCCACTACGTCCCCCCGCTACCCTCCTGTGTCTGCTATCGATGTCTTCTTGCTGATCCTCCCTGTCTATTTGCTCTGCTGCCTGCACTGCCCTCTTAACACCTACGCCATAATGCACCTGTAATCTTTCAGAAAGGTTGCAAGTGCAAATGCGTATGCCACATCATTCGCAACGAAAGGCAATATACGAGTACGCCCGCCAAGTGAATTATGTGACTATAATTAAACAATGACATATTGATTTATAAGAAGCTCTAAGGCCCTGGTAATACACACTGTGTGTACATCGGGGTTGTCAAAAAATACTCAAGGGACTGAAATTTAAAACACATTTTAAAATCGCGGGGCCAAAATTGTTGAACATTTATTGATCAGACTAGGGCTGACAGTGCTTTAACCAGAAATATTGAATTGGAACAGACAACTTTGATCTCAATAAAATAAATAAAAAATGAAAATTACGATATCAAGCAAAACAAGAATGTGGTTACACACACAGAGTAGGATGTGTCAATGACTCAAAATAACAAAACTGACTATTTACTATAGACTTTTATTTTAAGACAACCATACACATGTTAAGCTTTGATGGGGCACATAACTATGGTGACATGTGATGTGTACAGAATAGCATTTTTTGTCTGTATACGCTGGAGCTCATATAACAGACCAACTGTAGACGGTACTGTGCAATACGTATATTTGTCATTAGAAGAGGTACAGGTAAATGATGATTGGAGTATTAGTAAGAAAAAAAAACATTAGAAAAGTAGTAGCAATAGAAAACACAATGTAATTCTGGACTTCATTTGAGTAGCTGCACACATACTTTAGGCTGGGGTCTGAGAAGATGCAGGAAGCATGGCCTCAATCCAAGAAGTGGACAGTGAAAAGACAACACCTGCCTTTTTATTCCAGGTCCCATGTCGTGCAACTTCAAAAACATTTCCTTGCTATATGTATGCTATTGCTTTTTATATGGATGTCCAATAACATCAGCCGACCGATATAATCGGCTCGATATTAGCATAATTAAGCAATATCTGTAAGAATCGTTATTGTTTTTTCCTGCAATAATGAAAACCTGGAAATGCAATGCCTGAGTTTGTCCGTAAAATGTGTGCTCTAAATTACAGTAGGTTTGGGGAAAAACTTCTGTATGTGAAAGTGAAAGCCACTTGGTGGCAGCATTGCAGTTCATTTTATTAATCTATTTTAATAATCAGGGAAACTCGTACAGTGGTTTGTAGAGATGAACAAAAATAGGTTAACTTCCTTAACCACTAGTCCACCACTGCCGCGCTATATCGGTATCGGTTGATATCGGAATCAGAAATTAAGTGTTTGGACAATATCGGCATATAAGATATCAGCAAAAAGTTAATATCGGACATCTCTAGTTTTTTTGTTCCTTTTTTTTTTTTTTTTACTTCTGCTTTAACAGAAATGGATACGGGGACAACAGGAGACATCTGTGCACATTCCACCATGGCCACAAAACCTTACATTACACAAGAACACACACACAAAATTAAAACCAACACACGTTGCCTTTTTTGCTACAGTTTTCACATAAAATTCAAGTGCAATTGAAGTTCCAAATACTAATGACATCACAGACATTTCTCTTTAAAGCAACACTCCGTTTCTTACAGGCAGGGTACCTTTGTGTTAGTCTTGTTAACGATATTTAAGAAAAAGAACAATGATAGACATACATCATCATTTCATCATCTGTGTGCTTCAAGGAATGACACACCCACCGCGGGTTCATACATGTGGTTTTTCATTTAAAAAATATTAATATTCTATGTGCATCTGTTCTTTCAATGCCATTGTCTTGTGCACATTACAAAAAACTCACATTTTGTGCAGATAATTATACAATTGTGTATGTCTGTACCTATACTGCATCTATTTGGTGTAGCCTATCATGCAGGTCTCTTCCAACATTCAGAATACACTTTCAAAAATACAACAACAACCAAAAACAAATAAGCAAAAAACCTGTAAGTTGATGAAGCGAAATTAAAAATGGTGCAACAATCTCAGGATAGCTATTAAGAAAAAAAAAAGAAAAGATGTAGATCGTGGGCTACCAAAGGTAACAGGTTGGGCCAAATGAATTCCCTTTTGAATACCTAAACTACTTAAATTGCTAATTAATTCACAATACTTTCAAAGCTTTACATTAAATATTAATGTAAATGTATGTCAACTTAATAGAACTTAACCGCGAAAGACAAAGACGAACACTTTTGGAAAATGGCACGAGTGTCTTTGCCAACTGAGTCAAATGGCCATCAATAGATTGGTCATTATTAGTCTTGTCTTGTTGACATTGTCATTTCAAACATTTAGGAAAACAGAAGAAATGTTTTCCTTTTCGACTCAAGGCAAAAAAATAAGGCTACATTGGTACTATATTCTTCACATAAAATCTGATTTACATGCTGGAACAAGGTATCCTTCTTTATCTCCTCGTCAGTTTGTTGATTGATATAGTATGACCTTTACCCTTTCAGTTATGAATTTGGATGTGAGCTCAACTACCTATGGAATTCTCACATTTTTAATGCGAACTATCTAATGCATATACAGTATATAGCTAATAACTGACTAGGTCTGATCGTGTTTGAAGAAAAATATGCCTCACATGTTTTGTAAAATAGTGGAGTTTTCGTATCGGAAAATGTGATTTATGTAAATATAGTGTTGGCCGAACTTTTTTAAGCAACGGGACATATTTTACAGAAGAAAATTCCCAGATTGCATCTCCAAACAAAATTGTCACAAAGTGAATATGTAATCAAGAATAAAATGGTTTTCTCACAATTTACTTCTCATTATGAAACCTGGGCCTGTTTAGTTGAACACTACACTAATATAATCACAGGAATTGAATTGAAGAAAGATACACATATAAAGATCTCTCTTTCTCTCTCTCTTCTTCTTTCTGTCTCTCTCTCTATATATATGTATAGCGAGTAAAATATATATGTATATATATATATATATACACATATATATATTCTCTTTGTTTTTATAACATCTGTTGCAACCTAATAGAAGAGTACTCATAAAAGAGTGCTACAAAAAATATTTATCTTTCTCTTTGTTGATTTAAACACTGTAAGTAAGAACAGTACAAAAAGCATTTTAATGAACTAATAAAACAATATGTCTGTTTCTAAGCATCCCGGCACAAAACGGCACTTCTGCTATTACTGGGCCAGAAGATGGCCGGAGCCAGGAGTTTGACACCTCTGCATTAACAGAAGCATGCCCTACAACATTTCAGGTTGAGAAATAAAGAAATAAAGGTGTAGTCTATGATGAATAAGTAAGATTTAAAGGTTAAACTTCAGCGACAATAGCAGTTTGATGTGCCATTAAATCCCACAAAATAGAAGATATCAGTAGAAGAAAATGAAAAGAATTATAAATTGTGTCTTAACCTGTTACATCTAGACGTATACATTAGTGCAGGGGTGTCAAACTCATTTTGGTTCAGGGGTAACAAACAGCCTCATTAGATGTCAAGTGGGCCGGACCAGTACTTTCATTTATTAGAAAAATAAATGAACGTACTGGTCCGGCTGTACTTTATTAGAAAATATTCATATTTAATGAAATATAGTTTGACAAAACATCGCCAACACAAAGTGTTTATGGATTTTCTTTACTCAAAAATCCATCAAGCGGGCCAGATTGAAGCCCCTAGCGCGACGGTTTTGGTCCGCGGGCCGTAAGTTTGACACCCCTGCATTAGAGAATACATTTTCACGTGGTTTTATGATGGTCAATTATTATTAAATTACCTAAGAAAACACTTGCCATCTCTATTGCACCTGTGCTGACAAAGTATAAAGTTATGTTGAGATGCCTAGCTGTAGTATTCCACATTAAAAAGTGACAAATATTTTTAGATTAAAAAAAATCTGATTTGATCAAACAATATATACACAAACAATATTCAACTCATTTAGATTATCTTTTCATTCTAATAGTCCTGGCCTTCAAAATCCCTTATTAGTCAAACCTTATATACAAAGCTGCGCAAATGGAAAGTTGTGGTGAAGATATTGATAAATTACCACATAAAAGAGGAAAGGTCATTTTGACAAAGAAAACTCAAAGTACAAATATAATTGATGGAGATGTCTAGCCAGAAAAAAGGAACAACAAGGTTTAAACCAAGGCAGGGGAATGTTAGATGGGTCTAAAGTGATACAGGATGCTGAGTGTCTTTAACAGGTCTGGTGGGAAGAGGGGTGACTCATTTGTATGGCCTTAAGAATCTGGTGACTTTGGAACGCAGCAGCTTAATGAAGGAGCGGGGGAACATTTCTTTAGACTCCTGTGCTGTGTATTTGAAGTAGTTTTGGGGATGAGCCAGTACATCAAACAGGGCTTTTATCAGCTTCTTGTCCTGAAATAAAAAACCAACACAAACAAAAAAAAAAGTCACCAGATAAAAAGCAGTTAAACAAGGTTGAAATTAAAACACAATTACCGTATTTTCCGGACTATAAGTCGCACTTTTTTTCATCCTTTGGCTGGGTTTGCGACTCTATGAGTCATCATTTATTAAAGAGCTCTTAACACAGAGATCTACTTGTGTTTCCCACAAGGTATAAGAAAAGGATGAAAGGCAGATCTGTTAGTTACAGCTGCCAGTGTGGGCTTCAAGGTTGGATTGTACCTTCTTTTTGGGTAAATCCTTTATGTAGGGTTAGTTAAGCTAGAAAATGATCTATTATCCCTTTGTAATGTTGTTGTAGCCCTAGACTGCTTGAGGAACTCCCATAGTGCAGTTAACCATCTTTGTCCTTCCCTCTATGAACAAACACATGCCAATTAATTAGTCTCAGAATAATAACTTTGTTTTTCTCTTTCTACACTACCTTTCACAGTCTTCACTTCACAGAACCACAGAAAAATGAAAATAATGCCATACCTTTAGTATCTCCTGATGGTTTTCAGATGCATAAAGCCTTCCATCTCGCACTATGTCCTCAATCAGCTGCTGGTAATCCTCTGGAATACGATCAAGACGTACTTAAGTGTTAGTAATGTCAAAGTAAGTTTTGCGGACTTAAAAAAATAAGTTGACCTACCATCATATGTGACATATGGAACTTGAAAGCCTTTGCCGCTATTACCCTCATTGGACTTGAACTGGACCCAGAGCTTTCGGGAGCGAGAGGTGAATGCGATAGGACGCTCATACGTCTGGCAAGTCTCATATGTCGTGATGGAGGTGGGAAGGGCTAAAGAAACAGCAGAGATCATAACAACAAAACTGTTTATTATACCTAAGCATTTTCACTGCATAGTACAGTAGAGGAGCCTAGCCTACAAGTTTGACGTCAACAACACCTAAAGTGAAAGTTTAAAATCGCAAAGTCTGTAGATCCATGGGAAATGTAACAGTCCAGGAATAGGATGGATAAAAATTATAATATTCATTTACCACTCTTCCTCATCACCAAGACATCTCCACACTCGTCCTCAATGGGGAGGAAGATCTCTGGCACCACAATTAGGATCCGTCTCTTGTGTGGTGGTATGATGGTCCATACACAGTCAACATTGGATGGATAATCTCCAGGGTAGTTGGGTGACTCGATGTAGCCTGTGTACTCTCCGAGTTCACCTCCACACAACTGGTCTGATCGCAAGAAGAAAAGGTGACTTAAGTGATTAAATCTAAGGTAATAAAGAGTTATAGCTTGATAACATTAGTCAGTGCAATGAGTTGCCTCACTTTTACAGTGGGTAACGTTGGTGGCACCATCAAAGTCAGTTGTGGTGTTTCCTGGACAAGTGATGCAGTAGTTCTGCCCAAATTCAGACTGATAGGTTCCCAATAGGCAGCGAATACAACGGTGGGTACTGAAGTTGTAGTAATGACCCGGAGCACAGTGCACTAGGAAGACAGAGTCGGCAGAGGGTATAAGCAAATGAAATACAAACACATAAACAAAAACGAATAATTTTGAATTGAAAACATTAATGATACCATAAATTTCTATATAAATTTATCGTAAATTCGATTTTTAAACAGGGTTTTAAAAACGAACACAGCAAATAAATATAACAAACCGAGCTTACCCTTGGCCTCACAATCCCTAAAGGATGTTGAACCAACATATTTGGTCATAAGGCCTCCTCCACAGGGAAAGCACAGAACTCGACCTGGTTCAGGCTGGTATGAACCCAGCAAACACGGCTGGCATGGACGGAATCCATCAGCAGAGAAGTGACCAGCCGGACATTGGCCTGAGGGCCAGACGGACCAGAGGTTAAATATCAGAGAAAAATCCACAGGTGAATGACAATTTCAGCTGGTGCCCTGTCTTGTATAAACTTGTATTATAAATATAGTTTAAGATTTCAATGCGATATAAGCAGCTGTACATTCAGGTCAGATCTGCAGTATTTTCTGGACTATAAGTCGCACCTTTTTTCATTCTTTGTCTGGGTTTGCGAGTTATATCAGGTGCCACATATATTAAAATACTTAATTTCACATGTTTGTTATTTTCACACTGACATCCGCTAGAGGGCACTCTAGTCTTGTGTACTAGCACCTGCTACTTCTTTACCACAAAACATTTTCATGGTCGATATTTCCACACTTACAGTAGCTAGAGGGCACTGGTGATACTGGTGGTAACTCCGGAGTGACTTATATATGTTTTTTTTTCTTCTGCATTATGCATTTTTGGCTAGTGTAACTTATACTCTGGAGCAACTTATAGTCCGGAAAATATGGTCGTAGTTATTGAATGTAACCTCTCATGATGAGGAAAAAGTTGGGATGGCTCATGTCCTATATCGATACCACAACATGGAGTATCTGCAGATACCGATATCAATCACTATACCTTCTTTCCCCCTACAGTATGCTGTTGCTGGGGTGATAATTTCTCTGTTTACGACAAAGTCGAGTTGAGCATTTGAGCTTGGGTCTCAGATCTGACTGGCTATGGTTGTTTTTTATCGATGTTCTATCCTAAAATTCTGACCAATATCGTACCATTACCAATCCTTAGTATCAGATGGAGCAGATAGAAATTTGCAAAGTCTGACCTCAGTTCATCTTTAAAAGGTCTATAAAGTACATTTTCAAAGGTAAACATTGTGAAACGAACATAATATGGTGAGTCACCTCCACACTGCGATACATTCTTAGCTCCAGCAATGCCCTGTCCATCAGTACTGGGACACGGCTCACAAGACAGCTGACCAACTGTGTCCTGGTATGTTCCGGGAGGACATTGAACGCACTGCTCATGCTCTCCACTGTAGAATGTGCCCAAACCACAGCTCACTGACAAGAAAGACACAGAATAGTATTTTCAAATATTCTTTGTTTCGGTTAGCCATAACGCTAGGAAAGACACCATACTGAACCATCCACACTTACCACACTTTCCACCTTGTAGGACTTGTCCTGTGCTGCAGGGCTCAGCGCCTTCTGGTAATCGTGACTGTTTCTGAGCCACCTCGTACTCAGTGCCTGAGAATTGGATGTAGAACTGCTGTTTGTTGATAGATTTCCTGAGCGTTCGCATGGCACTCTGCAGTTTCTGCTTCATTCTGTCACGCATACACTCCACGTTACATGAGTCTGAAATAGAAATGATTTTAAAACAAATGTTTATGAATATCTGATACGCTGTATCAGCCAATTGAGATGGGCTTGATTTCTAATGAATACATCACACGATTGCATTGTTACATGAACTTCACACATAATGTCATGAAGGAAAAGATGGATGTTTTAGAGCTAATAATTGTTTACAGAGTAGTGTCTGACACTTCTGTTAAAATGTTTATTAAAAAATGTTCCTTAGTCATAAATTATCCGGCATTTGAACTTTTTCTGTTTGAGGATTTTTGGCAGTTGGCAGACTGCAATGCTTGCAATACCAATGTTGGGTAACAAACTATGTGGCAGTTAAGCAACATCTGACACCAGTTCCAAGTTCCAGATGATGGATAGTGTATGTGTGTGAGCCTGTTTAGCCACATTTAAAAAAGATTAAAACACCTGAGGCTTCCTCCTCCTTTATCTCCATCTCAAACTCGGCTGTGATGTGTGAAACCTCCTTTGAAGGGGATTTGCGTCCTCGGCGCCCCTTTTTTGAGGAGTCACATTTGAGGTTGACAAATGTTACCTGGCAGTCATCAGTGCAAGAGAACTGGCCAGCTACAGGTGAAAAAGCACAAAAGAGAAACTTTCAGAGCACCTGAGGTGAATGTTGTCACAACTTATTTGGAAAACTAGTGGTTGCATTTTTGATTTGTTAGAGAAATCTTCCAATACAGTCCTCACTGAGTTATTCCACCTAGGACAAGCACTTGGTTTTAAATTACAGCACTTTAAAATCACCAAGCTTCTGCATGGTATCTGATGTGCAATATAAGAGACAAACATCTTAACCTTGTATGTTCTGCTTGGATGCGTCTTTGTGTCTCTCCTTGTTGCGGGGCTTCAGATGACACTTGGCGTCCTTAATCTTGAACCTGGCCTTCTGTTTGATAGGTGACGCCAGTGTGTCTTTCAACAGAAATAAGAAAAATAAAAGAAGTTATTACAGTCGCTTGAGAAGATCATGCCAACACAACAATAAATTAATAATCATGCAAACATATTTGTGATCTTAATGGTGCCGTTTTGTTGGATAAAAAAAAAAAGATCTTAATGGTGCCGTTTTGTTGGATATAAAAAACCCACACATTTTTACATTGTATGTAGGGGAATGAGAAACATTATTTTAACATTTGGATATAAACATTTAAATGTTAGCTTTCTGTACAAATTTTTTTTATTGGCCTTATGTTCATTTTGTGGGTTCTAAATTTCAAAACTAGGTGAAAAAGAAGCTCGCCTGGGCCAACACAGCTCAGTTCACACTAATTAAGATTAAGAAGTGAACATTTTCTTTAGATATCACCCTTAAACTAATGTTAATTCTTTTGGTCATTCCTTTGTATTACTTAATTGTTTTTTATATCTGTGCTTCCCTACCTTTTTTGAGCCATGGTCGACATTTTATATGAGAAAAATGTTTTGGCACACCACCAAAAAAATCTTGAATAAGTATGTGTTGTGGAATATAACTATCTTTTAGTTTCAATTTGCTCAGGATTTGAGTGTAAAACCTGGTCCTGTTTAGGTAAACACAACACTTATATACATATATTATATATAGTTGCAGGAATTGAAGCAAGACACACGGAGATCTTCAACAAGGTCTTGTTTATTTTAGGTCTTTTAAATTTTTCTGCCTATCACTGTTATATAAATGAACTTAATTTATTTTAATGCATTAAAAAAAGTTTTCGGACCATTTAAACAAAACTGGATAGAATTTTGACTGCACAGTTAATGATCTCTCATTGCAAACGAATGCAGTGATTCCCAACCTTTTTGAGCCACGGCACATTTTTTACATTACAAAAACTCCTATGGTGTACCACCAAACAAAAATTACTCATAATATACTTACACTGTGTGACCTGGGCCTGTTTAGTTGAACACAACGCTGATATACTCGCAGGAATTGAAGAAAGACACACATGGAGATACCTCAACAGCTCTGAGTCTCTCTCTTTTTTTGTTTTTATAGCTGTCTCCTGCCACCTAGAAGAAGAGTATTTAATTGTTCTGCCTGTTACTGTTGAATAGACGAACAAAGTCATATATATTAAAATAAATTATAGTCGTCAGGCTATTTACTGCAAGTGAAGTTGGATCATTTTTCATGGTACACCTGGTGATCTCTCATGGCACACAAATGTGCCGCGGCACAGTGGTTGGGAATCACTGCACTGATATGACATTTCCAGTTAAGGGGAAAACTGGCAGTTTTCCAGCATCATTATCGTAACACTTTGTTTTAATTCTTTACATTTACGCATTTATGCATTTAGCAGATGCTTTTATCCAAAGCAACTAAAAAGAGGAGATTTATTTACTACATAGAGGATCTCTTGAAAAGAGAGAGCAATTTAGTAAAGTGGAACTGATGTACTAGGGGGGAGACAAGTGCAGAAGGAGAAGTGAAAGTGAACGTGAATTATTTGTCATTGTGACACAACACACTGCTGCACACAACGAAATGTGACCTCTGTTTTTAACCCATCACCAAAGTGAACAGTGGCTTTAAGCGGTGCCACGCTCAGAGCACCTCAGCGGTAACTTCTGGACCCAAGTCTGCTTCCTTAACCACTAAACCACCACTGCCCAAGTACAGAGAAGCACTAAGGCAGGAGGTGCTCTCTGAAGAGATGAGTCTTCAAGAGCTTTTTGAAAATAGACAGAGATGACAGAGATTTTTTGGCTGGTGCGACTTGTACTCCAGAGCGACTTATAGTCTGGAAAATACGGTACAGTAATAGCTTGAGATATGAGTGTCCCGACATACACATATTCCGAGATATGAGCAAGCTTTCGAGCAAATTTTTGCTTTGAGATACGAGTAAATATTCGAGATTTGAACACGCTTACAGAAGTCGAGTCTTGGTGGCCGAGCACTTTACTGTACTTTGAATATTAAGGTCTGAGCAGCTGGAGACACAGTTTACAGTTCATTTTATTTTATTTTATTAAATAAAGATTCTCTTTTGACCTGGCATTAACGTCCTTAAAGAGCAGTCCATGCGATGCGGACAGTGTTTATACTTAAATCCTACATTATTCTCATTAGAATTTGGTTCATTGGTCCTGTGTTGTTCCATATGTGATCATATGATCGTAAATCGATGTAGAGCCAGCGTTAGATGGTGTTAAAACTTTTCTGTGGAGTCTTAGTTAGTTTTACCAGCACAGATGGGCAAAGCATCGGTTGCATTCCTCTCCTGCGGAGCTTTACCAGGCTGGACAGGCACTCCGCAGCTTAATGTGTAGCTGTTTTCAGAATCTGAGAGAAAAACACATGAGAAAATCTGGTAAAATGTTAACAGTTTTTTTGTGTGTGTGTTTGTGTGTGTCAAAGTGATGTGTTAAGTGTTGAGGATTAAAAAGAATTCCATAAATGTGCCATGACTTTGCTCTGCTCGTATTTCACACCACAGACAACCACAGGGGAACCTCTGCTGCCATGTGACTTTAAAAACCTGACTGATAAATTAAAGGTCAAATGAAAGAGCTATACTTCGGGGCATACTTCCTGTCTGAATGAAGGATAAAAACTCTCAAGAGATCATAATAGCGAGAGAATTTTTTTTTTTTTTTTAAACAAAGGTTCATTCAGCCACAGGAATTCGTACTGAACACTTCCCCTCAAATTAAGACACACTCCAAAAAAGAGAAAAACAAATATTTCAACCTCTGCTTGAGAGATATCCATCATTCTCACACAATGGCTGCCAGGTTAAACAAAGTTTGGGCCACAAAATGGAAAAAGCACTGTGATCAAAGAGTGTAATTGATTTGCCAATGCGTGTTAAGTACTACTGCAGGAGGGGATGGCTGGTCGCCAGCCAAATGCTGGGTATGATGAAGCCAAGAAAACCTCACAGACTAAAAAAAACAAAACACTGACTAGACTGGAGGGGCCCCTATGGAGTCCACAAACACAGTGGCGAGGAGTTCGACAGTTTATCAATCGATACCAGTAAATGAAAGCAGTGACTGAAGACTGTGGTCACCAGGGGACAGCAAAGCACAGAACTGAACGTTTGTAGTTCACGTCGACTGATTTATATTGCATCCTGCCTGTAATCTACACCACTGAATTAGATCGCCAGCCGTTGACAATTTGAGTCGTATAAAAACTTTGTAAGACTAACTAATAAAAAGTATGTGAAAACAAAGAAGAAGGACCAAGATGTTAGCATAGATTACACAGTCCCTCCAGGACATTGTTATGGTGTGAATTCCAGAGAAATTATGGTCACTTTTTTGGCCGATTCCCTCAACTTTATCGTGACTTTAATCAATGTCATCGCTCCCACTGCCCAAATCCTGGAGGGACTGTTTAAAGCAGGAGATGTCAAATATAAGGCCCGCGGGCCAAAACTGGGCCGCTTGACGAATTTTCAAATTTAAAAAAAATTACAACACTTCAGGTTCACATTGTAAAATTATATTTCACTCAATATAAAGATACAGTGTATCTAATTCACCTTTATGAATTAAAATAAATGGGAAAGACTTTTTGTTATTTTTAGGTAATTATGTTATAATTGTACTGGTCCGGCCCGCTTGACATCTAATTAGGTTGCATGCGGCCCCTGAACCAAAATGACAGCCCTAAATGTGTCAATATAAAGTCTGTGTTGGTACCGCACTAGCATAGTGTTGGTAAATCACCTTTGAGAAGTGTGTGTGTTCGTGTATGCACATATATACCTGCAAGGAATAGGGCGTTGGAGGGGCAGGAGAGAGAGCAAACCTCAGCCCCTGCATTTTTATTACACGTCAGCTGGGCTCGTGGTGCTGGCTTCCCATTGGGCGTACATTTGACCGCCTCTGAGGAACACACACAGAGTCACATCACCATGACAGCTACCGGGACGACAGAGCTCTATGCACACACACAGTCGTCAACACGTGCAGTCGGCGCTTACGGATGCAGTCCTTCTTGTTCCAGTGGAGTTTCTGACCGGACGGACACACGCACTCGTAACTTCCCTGTGTGTTGACGCAGCCAAACTCACAGCTCCCGTTGTTGATACTGCATTCATCTACATCTGAGCAACAACGGAAAAAAGTTTGAGAGAATTATTGTATTTCACATAATTTTTATATAGGTATATTAGAAATACCAATATGCCATGGTTCATTTTTTATTGGCACCCAATGACTTCCTACAGTGACGTTACGTATCCCTGACAATGAACAGCTATGAAGTGTGACACTTAGTGTCCCCTAGTGGGGGCATGGAAAATAATTGAGAAACACTGCTTTAACGCATCACGTTAGTGAGCAAGCAGCACTGAACTTCCTTAGCCATGAGTCCCACAATAACGGTATTGGTTGATATCGGAATTGGTCATGAAGTGTTTGGACAATATCGGCAAAACGTTAATATCGGACATCCCTAGTTATCAGTCATTAAAAATAGTTTGTTTCATTTAGTTTACTCTCTCTCTCTCTAATAATCTGTTGCTCTCAGACATTTTGCACCTGCAACCCTAGTGGCACTTGTCTAGAATGTGTGGAATGTGGAACGAAGTGTTGATGCACTTTTTTTTCACAGATTTCTTAATTTCCTCAGACATAAGGGTCTGCCAAGCAAATAAACATTAAGGTTTTGTTTTTGCACACGATCTTAGTAGTTTCTCTTTGTAGTCTTCCGTTCCTACCTTCCACCCATAATTTATGAGCAGGCTTATAGTTTTAATGGCAAAAACGAAAAACGAGTCTCCACTCAGATATGCACCAAAAAAGTTGCCAAGTTTACTCTGTGCTCCTGCTCTCTGCAGATCGTCGTCTGCATGTGTTCATTTCTGTAAGTCTAGTTTGTTAATGGTTCCAAAAATGTTTTCATAGTTAAGAAAATCATGCATTAGATTATTTTTATTATAATCAAATTCAAGTTCAACGGAAAAAACATTTGTCTCATTCAAGTTCAACGGAAAAAACATTTGTGTCACTTACAGGGAGAGATTTTTAATTCAAGTATCTCGATCCAAAAGAGGATACAGTTTAACCCACAGTAATGAAAAGTATCATTTAAATTAAGAGAGTAATTTAATTTAAAGGGAGACCCAGGTGTGACCTGTGGCGAATGCTACAGTAATGAAAAGTATCATTTAAATTAACAGAGTAATTTAATTTAATTAAGGGAGACCCAGGTGTGACCTGTGGTGAATGCTTGTGAAGGGAAAAGATTAAATTATGTGGAAGTGACACTATTAATTAGTATTGATACTTTATCAGAGTAATCAAGAGTCAATCGATACAATCGCCGTACCATAACTGCCATCAGGGAAAATCCTTACCTCCACAGTGGGTGAGGCCGTACAGGATGTATCCTTTGTTGCACAAACACTCAAAACTGCCTGGGTAGTTGATGCAGGTGTGGTCACAGGTTCTCTCGAAAGAACACTCGTCAATATCTGTGGGAAATCAGGACAGGAGATAGAGTCTAGTCACAAATCTTATATGGAATTGTATATCTTATCATATGTTATTGAAATTTGTACATACATGCGTGAATATATATGGATATACAAACATATATTCATATACATATCTAAATATACATATATACACATACATATATATCTAAATATATATACATATATAGACACATACATATCTATATATATGTACATATACATACATACATATTTATTTATATGCACATAATATATGGATACAGAGGACATCATTTCCTGAATTTCTATCTATCTGTCTATTTATCCAATGAGACCAAAGAAAATGGCACAATTTCAGTCCACTACGACACAAGTGTTCTACATGTTTTCCCTATGGACAGATATCGATCATTACCAAAGTGTTCATACAACCAAAGTGTAAATTGAAAACACTGACGCACCTCGCAAAAAAATGCAAGGGCCTAGACCTCGGTTTAGTAAATACACAGGCAGCTATTAATAATGAGACGTTTGTTTACCTTGAAGTTGAGTGTACACAGTTTCAAAGTGTAGTATGCGCAGCAATGTGTACACAAACGTGGTGTACATAAAGCTGTCCACAATGATTTAATCTAAAAAGTACCGTATGAAAATAAACACTAGGTTTCTAGTTTGGCCGATGTGTTTTTCCCTTAGACATACCTTGGGTAAAGTTACAGCACTCTGACGTGGACGGCTGATTTTTATCTGAATGCTGACAGAAATCGTCTTTCTCTGCTTTCATATATGTAGAAATGAGGGAATATCTTGTGGAAATTTTTCCGGTAACTGCGGTAAAAAATGAATCTTTCTGCTCAGCCAGCTTGGAAGAGCACTCCAGCGACTGTTGCTGTGTTTGACCCTGAGCTATTTTCTCTGGAAAGGCTCACAGAGCTCGAAGAGCTGACAGAAACAAATACAGTATTATATTTTACTGAAAGGTCACGTTGAAGCTGAAAGGCCAAATGTCAGTGGAATGGACAAATCTGGCAGCTACTGGCAGACACCGGCACTGCTACTTTATTGTGGATGGAAACATTCAGCACGAGTTAATTAAAGCACCACTGGGTTTGTTGTTGATAGAGAAAAAAAAAAGCCATTTAGTGTTTGTCTGTGCTGCTGTTTCTCTTGCTGGGACTTGCATCGAGGAATCTACTTTTGCCTGAGCAAACATAACAAATGATCACAAGAAAAATATCTGAGTAGCCCTGCTCTGAAGGAACATGCTGTCTGTTTAAGCAACTAACAAAATAAACAAAAAATTGTCACATTTAGGAATATCCATTTATCTCCATTAATCATGATTATTCTGTGCATTACTGTAAGGCTAATGCATGGGGCCCCAAACCAGAGGTTTCAAACTGTCAACGTTTGGTTCAGGTATCGCATGCAATTTGATGGACCAGACCAGAGAAACTCTCACTGACCTTGACACGTGCGTTCATCTGTCAGCAGTTTGTGGCCCTTCTGACAGCTGCATTCAAAAGATCCGACTGTGTTTCGACAGTAGTGATCGCAGCCTCCGTTGTTCTCCTGGCATTCATCGATGTCTGGTTCAGAAATGTAGGAAACAGACAAACAGAAGTTCACAGAGCGGGTCACGAAATATGAATTTGAAACTGTGTTGAGGGAATGCTCCATTCAGCACATTCTTTCTGTACTTTTAAGGCTGTGATATTAACACTGTATTTCTCTTCGATATCGACTCAATAGCTGGATTGGGCAATAGCTAACGGGACCCCTCCCTGACTCCCATCTATTGACAACCCTATCCCATCCTGACTTTTCCTAAATGTGTCTGTATTCTAAGTCAAAATGATCTTTTATGTATTAGACAAAAGACAAAGAAGGCAAATGTTGCAATTTTTCCATGATTGATGTAGCAAATTGGTTGCTATAGCAACGGTCATCTCCTTCACTTGTCTCTAGCGATCCTATTCTCTTTGACATTTATTGAACATAATGTCACTGGGCTGAAAGCAAAGTCGAACACGTACTTGATGTACTATAATAACACCAAGTACAGCGTGGACGTCATCGATCAGATAGCAAGGGTGTACTCTGTGAAAGGCGGCACAAGGAGGTGGCTAGTTTTCATTTCTTTGGCTGGGTTTGTGTTTGCTGAGTATAAACTCAGCTGTGACTTGAAATAAAATATATAATTTCTCTAATGGCTGTCAGTGTGACAGCCATTAGAGGGCACTCTAGGCCTGTGTACCAGTATCTGCCTTTCCTGTGCCACTAAAAATTTACGTTTGTTATTACCACGCTGACAGCCGCTAGAGGGCACTGGTGCGACTTATACTCCAGAGCAATTTATACATGATTTTTTTTTTAATTATGCATTTTTTGGCTGGTTCTGGATACGGTACTTATGTACACTATGTAAAACCAAGTTACATCCCATGATAGCAACGGAATTCTGACGTTAACAAAAAGGCCCCATGTAATGGTAGAGGCGGCAGAAGAGCTGAAGAGGTAGCTAGAGGTACGAGGGTTTTTTGAAAGGGAGATGCAAAGAACACACTATTATGGATTTTGACAAGAGGATGAAAATAGCTGTGGTCTGTGGTTATTTTCGATGGGGGGAATAAAGGATTAAAGTCCTACCTTCTAGCCAACAAACATAGCTCTGATTGGCTTTAGCCCTGTTCTGTTCCTCCAGTGGATTGGACTGTCAAATTTTTTCTTCTCATTTTTTATAGACCAATAAATGTCATTATCACGTTTGCATTTCAAGTAGTTTCTGTCTTTGAGGTTTGTTAATTAAATCTTTGATGAAAATTATGTCAATGAAATTATTACTCGTTTACAGTAAATGCAAAGACAACAAAAAGGAGGCAAGATTAAGAATAAGTTTAAACTGGCCGAATGTAATATAAGAAAGAGTCGAGTGGAGGAAATCGCAGCAAAGGCGTTGAGGAAAACTGGCAGGAAGGTGTCATTTTTGACATTTTTGTCAATGAGAATGTAAACCAGTGAGAAAAAAAAGGAGAGAAAAAGTGGGGTAGTCAGGCAGATAAAGGAGTGAAAGGAGTAGTGAAGGGCTACATTTTTGGAAAGTAAAGAGGACAGTTCAAGATAGGCTGATGAGAAATTGAGCAATAAGGATGAAAATTATTTAGATAAGTTAGATAAACAGGGGATTATGTCCACAAAAAAAACAACCCAAAAACATTTAAAAGAACAAAAATAGGCCATCCAGGTGATGTTGAGCTAATGGACAACGGAGAAAACAAAGAGGAAGTAGAAGTAGCTGGTTTTTCTGAAATGATGGAATCAGTAAGAGGCAAGAATCATGCACATCTAGAACTCATATTTTAGTCGGTGGATTTAAAAATGTGTCTAACCCTAAACCTAACCCATATATATATATATTTATATGTCGCACCTGAGTCCCAGCCAAAGGATGGAAAAAAGGGCGACTTATAGTCCAGAAAATATGGTAGATTAGTATGAGTATTATTCGTAGTAGTAGATTCATGTCATGTGTTGAGTCATGTGTGGTGTTGTTATTGCAATCTATATATCCAATTCCATTAGAGGTATGTATACTATAGTATACAACATACTGTATATATGTATATAAGCAAAATAAGTATAATTATATAAGGAGTTACTTGAAGTTAGATATATATGCTGTTCCACTAAATATAATAGTGTATGAGGTGTCTTACAACTAGGCTTATACAAGTAGTATTTCTGGGAGTTACTATACATAATATTAGATAGGCTAGATATTAGTTATACATGTGAAAGTGAATTATGTGTCATTGTGACACAGCATATGCTGTGTGTATGCTATAGATATATGCATATATACACATATACATGCACCCACATACATATATATATACATATACATATATATATACTGTATATATTTATATATACACACACATACCTTTACATATACTGTATATATATATATATATATACACATATATAAACACATACTTGGGACATATAATTCAAGTTATTGCACTGGTTACTGTTGGGTTATTTGTTGAGTTGTTGGCACAACTCTTTATGACGTCCCAGAAGATGGGCTGAAAGTTTCCTCAGAGGTGACCTTGTATTGTAATAAAGGGCCTTTAACGGAATCCATTTGTCTTCGAGGTTGATATTTTGAACGCAGATTCTTCGCTTTGCCGGCGTCTGGTGAAGATGTGGAATGAATAAGAACGTTGACCCTGGGCCGAGGGAAACGGCCACGTCATCCTTTGCCTACGCCTTTATGAGACACTGGATTTAAAAAAGTGAGTGATCGGAATAAGAATTCTGACTCCAACGAGACCCTGGTGCTGATGGGACTCAGCTGCATCCTCAAGCCAGCCAATGAGTGTAGAGTACAGAGAGGTAAAGCACTCAGCCCTGACCTCCACGGTTCAAGTGAAGTGAAGGGTCATCCTCATGCATTTTGTCATGCAGAAATGCCAAAAGTGGACAAACTGATTCTCAGTAACCAACAGTTGCTCTTCAATTCATGATGCTTTCACACCTCGTCTTATATTCATACAGCAGGTCCTCGAGTTATGGCGTCCTCCACTTACGGCATTTTGTGGTTAGGTCGCCATCTCCCATGAATTTACTGAGAAAGTCTTCCTACGGCGCAACGCAACACCAATGTTTGCTGTACGTTGGTAGACGGAACGGAAATCTAACATATGTGGACGCCCCCTGTGGTTGGATGTAGGAACTGACGCAGTGGAGAGCAGCTGTGACTAGAGGTGTTTGTGAATGGTACAGCTCTACAGACAGCGTTTTATGTCTTGATTCACATCATGTGATCGTCAGTATCACTTCAGCCCAGTATCTAATAAAGAGATGGTGCGATTAGTGTGGAGCTGTGTTGGTGTGTGCATGTGCATGCTCACTTAAGTGGGTGTATTAATGTGTGTGTTGTCAGGGCTACTCAGGTAGGGTAGGAATGCAAGCCAGTATTAACATGTCTGAGGTGCCCCGCCATAAACAGGAACACACACATTCATACACACACACACACACATGCACAAAGAGAGAGAGAGAGGGAGAGAGAGAGAGAGACCTTTCCTTTTCCTAGGAGTGGTAAAATGACCAAAACAACAACATTAGCAAATACAAGCCATATGATAATCAACAACTTCAACGGTTAGTTCGATGTAATAATTGCTAGCACAAACACGCTCTAAACACAATTTTAAAAAAAGGTATTATGGTTTTGAACGTGGGTCCAATTTGCAGTGCATTCAGCCTTTTTTTATTTTTAATCCTATTTCATTAAGCACAATGATCAAGAGTGGACTGTCTTTGATGGAAATGCTGACTGAGACATGAACGCCGGAAAATTAAGTTTTCTCTGTGTCCGCTTGATAGACTACATTAAAATCTTTACAACAGTGCACCGTATTTTCCGGACTATAAGTCGCACCAGTGCCCTCTAGCGGCTGTCAGTGCGAAATTAATGAAGATGTAAATTTTCAGTGCGGAGTTCGTCTCAAACTTTTAATGTTTATTAAAATAAAATAATAATAAAATATATATATAATCCTTCTCTTTAGAGACCCTGACACTGCCGCGCTCACTGTCCCTCGATGAATTATTTTACCCGTTTTTATAACAATAATATAAAATGTTTTCTTAATTTTTTTATATATTATCAAAATATTTGTTTATATCTGTGTTTTTGATGTTTAGACAGGGGGGGCATTAATAGAATATTTCTGGGGGGCTGGAACAAATTAATTGGATTTTAGTTATTTTGATTGGGGAAAATTCAATCTAGAGTGGATCAAGACACAAATGCTGTCGTGGAACAGATTAGTCTTGTATCTCGGGAGTCCACATGTGTATTTCACATGCTGACGTTCCACAGTCTGTCTAATATATTTATCAATATATAAACAGAGTCGGAATAAGTCTGAGGGCTGTCTCCCTCCCCTCCTCCTGTCTGTGTGTGGAGTTGATCAGTGTCATCACACTCACCTGTCTCTGTCATCAGTCTCACTGGTGTCACCTGGTGCCCTGGGTATATATACACACCTCTCTCCCTCACTCTGTTTTCCCTTGGTCATTGTGGTTTGTGTTGTGTTTGTGTTGGTGGTTCTGTTCTGAGTTTTGTAACTTTGCCTCTGTCAATATATTACCAACACCTGAAGAATCTCTGTAGCCTTGAAAGACGTGTGATTTGTCTTCTTTTTGTAAATTCACCACAAACCGCTTTGTGGCATTTGCAGCAGGTGTTGAAGGTTTTGTTTTTGCTTGTCACTTTTCCTAATTTGACACTGCCTGCGTTTCGGAGTGAGGTGTGGCTGTTGGCGCTGCTGCAGACCGTGTCCTTTTCTGCTGCCAGTGAACTCTTCGTGTATTCCAGCCCAGTCCAATATGTTATAAAAAAAATGGCAACCAGCCACCTCCCCGTGACTCAATGAGACACACTCAGGATCGGTAAAGACGAGTGAAGGAGGTGATTGTTACTATAGCAACCAAACTGCAATGTCACTTGTGGAAACATTGCAACATTTGCTGCATGACATCCTGTGCGGTCATTATGACCGCTGTTGGCTGGAATAGGTAGAAATGATACATGAAAAAACTATTTTGACTTATAATACAGACACAGTTAGGAAACGTCAGGTATTTTTTAACTTTACAAAGTTACTGATTAAATAACTTTCAAACTGATCAAAATGAATTCTAGTGTTAAACTTGTAACTGACAGTTTGTTTTTGAAAGGATTTGCCATTGGAAAAAAATGAATCTAATATGCTATGATGCACCTTAAGGTAGTCTGTGGACTACCATGCTGGTGACCACTGCTTTAGTGTAAGCCCCAATGACATCACTGACAAAGTATCAGTGACAAAATAATGTTATTGTCTAGTGTGGCATAAGTGAAAAATGAAAGAATCGGCTACATTATGTGATAAGCTGCAGCTTTCAGCAACAACATTGTTGTTCTGCAGAATGCTTACTGTTTTGCTCAACGTACACTTGCTGGGATACAAAAGCAGGGCTGAAGTTACACATCTGCCTTAGATGCAGAAAGTTCTAGGTTCGAGACCCAGAGGAACCACACACTTGGTGCCTCCAAAGGGTAGCCTGTTGCCCGGATCATTTGATTGATCAATACTCCAAAGGGTAGCCTGTTGCCCGGATCGTTTGATTGATCAATAATCTTTATAATGTGGATCAAGTACAGTCGTGACAAGTGCAAGTTCCTGTTTCGGTGTCGTGTCGTTTTCAGCCAAAAATTCTGTGTATCCCTACATAGTTTAAAATGATCTCTCTTTTTATGATTTTTTTTATGATCTGGCTTTCTATTCGTCCGATGTTCATAGTCTTACAAAGCAAAGCCTTAGGTCACATACGTCAAACCTAAGGCCCGCAAGCCAAATGTGGCTCGCCACATCATTTTATGACCAGAGTTTGTCGTGCCTCTGGTTGTCTTAAAATAAATGTTTATATTAAAGTGTTTATACTTAATGGTTTTTGGATGGGTAAAACGCAGTGGTAAAGTTTCGTGCAGGGTGAGTAATACACTTTTTCTTAAATTCCAATTCCAATCTTGTGATGATTTACGTCAGCAATAAATGTTAAATGTTTTGGCCTCTAGCGTGATCAAGTTTGACACCCCTGTCTTAGGTCCTCAAGGCGAGGAATGTATTCAATCGTATCTATTTGGAAGAACAACAGGATGTAGTTAACAAATATCTACGTTACGTCATGGCCGTGCAGTTATTTTAAAACGGATATTTGATATTGTATGAAAATACAGATGTAGGGTACTGGGAGTAACAAAAGACAAAGTTAAGAGGTTTTAGTACCTTACAGAGTATGATGATGTGACTGGATGTAAAACAGTAACTGTTTTACAATGATCTTATAAAGCTAATTCGTCAAGCTGTTAAAAATGTGTGTACAGCTGTATTTTCTGTAGCTACAGCTGGGTGGTGCTATAGAGAGGGAGAAAAAAAGTGTTAGCTGGAGAAAGAGAAATGGGAGAGAGGAAGAGATGGTGGGGGTGGGGTGGTGCGGGGTATCCAGCACTGGCCTCACTATTCAAACATCTCAAAGTTTGCCGACGTGTCGTCTGACTGCTGGGCCTGAGAAAAACTCTGGCTCTTGGTTTTCACACACCTACATGCCACATTTTCAAACTGCCTGACACTGAATTCACCTACAAACACACACACACACACAGAATTGGTAATCCGCAATTTATGAGAGCACAAACATGACTATATCATCTCACACTATTTCTATGACAACTTGTACAGAACACATCTGACCTCCTCCTCCCTCCCCCTCCCCCAGTCTCTCTCCTCAGGGGGAGGAGTCAGCATCAACCAGCAGCACTATACCTGCTGAGGAATGAACACCATCATTATTCTTCTATGACAAACACACACACATCCACAGACACATTAAAATCATACACACACACATAGCGCTGTCTGCAGGCCATTTATCCGACTACACATAGTGAAAATATCCACAAAATACTCTGCCAACTACTTGTCTCACAAGTGAGAGAAACCCATCTGAGGCGCCAAAACGCGCGGGTTAAGATAGCATCGCTACCATCAATTCCAGTTTCACCTCTTCACAGTTTCGAGTGTGTTTCTTTGCTCAAAAGTGACATTCTAGTCCTAAGACAATGCTAATGTTAGTTTCCAAAGAAACCCGAAAGTGGGGGAAATCGTTTTGTGGCGAGTGCAACGTCATCATTGAACACCTGCAGAAATCATCCATTCACAATGATTTTAATTCATTTGAACACATCCCACAATGAACAGTTAGCAGTTAACAGTTAGCCAGGTGTAGCGGTCGAGATTCTAAATGTCTTTTGAAAATGCACAACAAAAAGTAAATAAAGACCATACAATCCACGTGAATGTTCAACTTAATTCACTATATTTTCACGTTAATTTGCAAAAAATGAAGCAAGAGTACCAGTGATAAAATATGTATATGTTTTCTGGACCTCAGGTTGATATTTGTTATTGTTATGGTATTGTACAAAACAATGTGGTTTGAACAATTGTTGTAAACAATTGTCTACATTACCGTATTATCCAGACTATAAGTCGAACTTTTTTTTTATCCTTTGGCTGGGTTTGCGACTTATACTCAGATGCAACTTATATAACAAAATATGTAATTTCACATGTTATTTTCACAGCCACTAGAGGGCTCTCTAGTCTTGTGCACCAGTATCTGCTACTCCTGCACCACTCAAAATTGACATATTTGTTATTTTCACACTGACAGCCCATGGTGGCACTGGTGCGACTTGTACTCCGAAGCGACTTATAGTCCGGAAAATACGGTAGTTGATACATTTTTGCTGTGGTGTTTTGGTTTTTAACAATTTCACATCATTTACATTAACTTCATTTATCCCTTGTCTGCTTTTAAACCTACAATAAAAATTGTATTTTCAACAAATGACAATTGATAGTTAGTGGGGTTTTTGAATAAAATGCTATTGGGGAAAAGATTACCTTTTGTCTAGTACATACAGCCAGAATCACACGAATAGATAGATGGATCGATAGATGGATTGATCGATAGATAGATATCGTATTTCATCACACCTTTGGAATGGAACTCACAATTCGAGGACCCCTAGTATATATAAAGAAAAATGGCTTAACAGCAGTGAGAGAGAAGTAGACGGGCAGGAACAACAGTGGTGAGTGGAGGCCAAAGTGCAGCAGAGGAGCACAGTAGAGGGTGGTGAAGAGTGCAGTGTAACCAAAAATAGTGCCGAAAGAGGAGAATATCCATCACTCCTCTCAGCTTTGGTCTTCTGTTTGTTATTGTGGTTGAAAACAGACCTGAGGAGTTGGCTGCTGGGAGACCATTTGGCTACACTGCTAAGAATCAACGGGTGCCTAGTGAAACAGTTAGCATTTGACCAGGGCCGTAAATGGCCTTTGTCTGGTTCATCAAGTTAGTTTAACACAGTGGTTCTCAATTATTTTCTGTCATGCCCCCCCAGCCCCCCGACCCACACCCTCACATACTGAAATACTATTGAGAACCTGATAACATGTATATAATGTATTGTTATCTGTACAAACCACCTAGTGACTAAAGGCTTGTTATCATTCAAACATTACAGCAGTGTCCTTATGTCCAGCATGCCATATTCCATACATTGGACGTCCCCTCACGCCCTCCCAGTAGCGCCCCAATGGGGCCCACACCACTATTTAAGAAGCACTGGTTTAACAGCAGGTGACCAAAGCTATATTTTGTTTATATATATTATACTTCTGAAGCACTGTCACAAAAAGGCATTCACTAACCTATACATGTTTTGCCATCAGGTTGCAGGGTAAATCCCACAGGGCAGCTGCAGCGCACCCCTGTGGCTGTGTCTTTACACGTCCTGTCGCATCCACCATTGTTGACAGCACAGGTCTCTGTGGACGGCAACACAAAAAGAGAAAAAAAGAGAGAGAGAGACGTGGTGTTAAAATGTGAAACTGCATCTGAAACACCATGAAAATAAATCTTGTCTGTTGTAGCTAAATGTAGGAAGATGACAGTTATGTACAAAGGTATTACTGTCACCTCGTCATTGTAAAAGGTTAGTTAACATTAACACACTAAACTGTTAATTCAATAAGGACTTCATGTTCAGGCCCACAAAGCAGGAAAAGTCATAGGTTTTAAGTTTTAGGAAGTTGCCTAGAGAGAAACAGAAAACAAATATTTTCATAGGTTTTAAGTTTTAGGAAGTTGCCAAAAAAACAGAGAGAAATAGAAAACAAATATTTAAAAAAAATTGAAAGGAAAAGGAAATATGTCTACAGACACTTGCCAAGACATCATTTTATAACTTAGTCTAGAACAGTATGAAAAGAAAAAAAATACAGATCAAGTGTCAAACTCAAGGCCCGGGGGCCAAATGTGGCCCGCCAAGTCATTTTGCATGGCCCACATGGACCTTAAAAAGCAAAAGAAAGTACATGCAGCAGAGTTACAAAAAATTATAGTATCTTAACCTGATGATTATTTTTAATCACACAGCATTGAACAATATTTGTAACTTGAATAAATAATAACCAATTGAAGAAACATTTATTAATAGGTTATAAAGTAGTTACACTTATACAATCTCTCATTTCGACCAGCCTTTCAAGGGGAACTCTACTGCTGATCTGGCCCCCTGGTGAAAATGAGTTTGACACCACTGATATAGACGATGGTAAGAGAAACAACTTTATTTACTCAAAGTAATACTTTCTGGATGAGAAGGTACTTTTACTTGGTAGAATAAAAGGCAAATGCACAGGGATGTTTAGGTGAATTTGAAAATAAGAACTTGTCAGAGTGAAAGAAGAGCTGAAAGGAGACAGTAAACCTGGATGCACTGTTTCAGAATTCTGTTTTTAAATTGTCATCCTTTGTACACACTGCTCCCTGGGTCCTTAAGCTGCCCCGGGCCGACTGTGGTGATGGGTAAAATGCAGAGGTCACATTTAGTTGTGTGCAGTGGTGTGCTGTGTCACAATGACAAGAAGTTCATTTTCTTTCTTTCATTCCTTCGTCGTATCAAGAGCTCAGTCATCTTCAGACCAATGTAGTTTTTTCCCAACACAAATCTCCTTGTTTTTAGTCATCTCATTTTGTCAACACATACATAACATTTTTTTTTTTTTAATTTTTGGATCTTCTTTTACTAGCTGTTTCTCGTTCACTATACTCTAATTCTGAAGAGAGTGACGCCTCAGACGTCAGCCCTGTATTCAAAAATTGAAAGCAAAATTAGTGACTATGGAAAAACGCAGGGTTAAGTTATAAAACATAAAAAAATAAAAAATAAAGTTACTCCAACGTGCAATAAATCTCAAACATTCTTGGCCAAACCTGTCTGTATATTTTGTTCCTGAAAAATGTTCTTGTTATAAAGTGTAGATAAAGTCGGTCTGGACTTGTGAATGTTGCCTGAGCAAATCCCAAAACAAACACCAGCTCATGGTAACACTAGCTCATCTGCCTGGTTTCTGTTGCTTCAGCAAAGCTCGGTGCACACTTTCCCCACTAAGCCCGCAGATGTGCTGAAGATGTTGAAATTTGATGTTGACTTTTGTGTTTTTGGAGGTTTTCAATTTGACACGTTAATAATGTGGTAGTTTGACTTGCTCCTGCACAGAGTTTAAAAGTTCACAAATTATGGTACGTTATTATTCAAACAGTGCCTTTAAAGACAAACAAGAACACTGTGAAAGTAGGTCAACACAATACAAATAATACAGTACATTAAAATGTAAGAACAATGTGTTAAAAGGAGGGAAGCCTAAAATCGGCTAACAGCTTAATTATGTAACATTGGTAAGAATCATTATCTTTTTTTTCTCCGATAACTCAAACCCAAAAATGCAATGCCTGGGTTTCACCCGAATGATGTGACCAAAAAATAAAGTTTCGAAGTGAAACTGAAACTACTGTCAGTATCTGTGGTCATTGTGACACATCACACCACTGCACACAATTAAGTGTTTCTTATGCCTTTAACCCAAACGGCTGCATATATCGGTATCGGTTGATAACGGAATCAGAAATATATCGGAAAGAATTTGGACAATATCGGCATATCAAATAACGACAAAAGTTAATATCAGACATCCTTAGTTAAAAGGTATATGAATAAAACCAAATCCAAACCAGTGAATGGGTGAATTAGACTTTTCTTTAACCAGGTTTGGTATTAAAAAGAGGTAGCTAGCTGATATTGCGGAGGTCAATTGCGGACAATGGAGGAGGATCTTTGGTAGCATGATAGCCAAATATGACATTTTCTACATCAACGCTTCGTCTGTCTGAACCGGCCCTGTCACAGTCGGTTCCTTGAATGTTCCTTCTTGCACCTTTGCTCCTTCAATCTGCATCTTCAATAGCAGGTTGTAGCTCCAGCGTCCTCCAAGACCCCTAAGAAATACGCGGTTCAGTTGACTAGGAATTGACTAGGAATTGGTTGACTAGGAATTGTCATTAACTTTAACAACCCCCCCCCGGCTCACCGAGCTCCAGTTTGGCCTGAGGGTGATTGCACAGATACATTACTAGTGATTAATGTCTACTTTTAATAAGCACATTAACGAGGTAAACGTGTAAACATTTTTACATTAATATCTCATTTATGTCTCGTTTTAAAAGGCTAAATCCTGGCCTTGTTGTTTCAGGATGAATTTGATCTTGGAATCTTTTGACCAACATGGACCGCAAAAAATAAAATCCAATTCTAAAGTGTGGACGATGTATGGTGGCCCAAGGTATGTTGGTTAGTATTAGCCTTGTAATACGAGCTGCTGCAGTACACAACTACCTTATGCATCGCAGTTCCTACACACACACACACACACACACTCACAGCTGTATATATTGGTGCCTCATCATTAATGCATCTAATGACTATGTATATATGTCATCACGTTCTACTGCAGAAACACATTCACCAAATCTTGGTTTTTCAAAATAACATTTCATGGAGGCAACCAAGAAGTACTGCTGAGTATAAGTTAGAGTACTTGTGACTAGTGGTGTGAGTATCGATTCCATGGTACCGATATATCGATACTCGTACGAGTACTAGCTTTATGAGATTACTGTCATAAAGAGTCAATGCTAATTAATGAATGAAAAAAGCAGATGTCTCACTTCCACATCTGTAGTAACTCACTACATATAGGCTTTTGTGATAAGACGCTCCCTGGTGACATAAAATTGAACTGATCCATTCATGTCACATGACCTTTGACCAGAGGAGAGCAGTGACAGCAAGTGATCGAATCCCCTAGAAGTCTTTGTTCCTCAATGGTAGCATTTAGGAATGTAATTTGATGAGTAATATTTTATAAAAAATACATATTAAAGTGTTTGTCATGTGTTTCATTGGGTTCAAAACAATTACACAAAATATCGGTAAGGATATCCAAAATATAGCCAAAGGAGTAATCATGAAGAAATCAAGAAGATTGATTGAAAAATATATACAAATATATAATATAGTATAATGTTTCAGTTCAAATAAGCACAATTTTTATAATCCGACATACAAAAATAGAGGTTGGTTCAGTTTGTTCTAATCTTATCATATTAACCACCGTTGAACTCAATGGACACTGCAAAAAAAAAGTTCATCAAAACATCGTCTATAAGAAAGACTTCATTAGTCATTCATCTTCTATTATTTAGCAAACGCTCTCTCTCTCTCTCCTTTATTTCCATAGTCTCTTACTCCTGGTTGCCCATCCTCATCTTTTATTAAAGCCTAGGCAACACTTCCATCCAAGCCCACTGTAACAGCACAGACCTGTCAGAGGAAGCAGACAAACTAATGGTCGTGTCAACTTTAGCGTACTGATGCTGCTCAGGCTGTGCCAGTCACAGCACCAGCACTCAGAGGGGGTTCAATGGAAGGGTTCGGAATTTTGAATTGTGGTGGTATGATGCCCCCGGCAAATACTGTAGTCAGTACTGGCCCTACTGCACATGCTGCAGGTGTGCCATCGAAATGTTCTCTGGACAAAACTCATGTCTACCAGTGGTTATAGAGAGGGGTTGACGTTTAAATCCCAAACAATTATAACATGACTACCTATAGATACAAAAAGTCTGTTTTTTCCCCTTCCTTTTCATTAGATAAATCTTCACATTTAGTATCATTTTACAAAACATTTACTAATCATGAAGTGTTTTCTCTTTTTCAAAATTTGTCAAGTGGACCTGATTGAAACCCCAAGAGGGCTGGTTTTGGCCCGAGGACCGTATGTTTGACACCAATGATCTATATCTGTAACTTGACTGTAAGTGACTCCATTCAATCGGAGTTCACTGATTTAAAACCACAGCTCTTTGGAACTCTTCTTTAAGACGGCCAGAAGTGACAGAAACGTTTGTGCTCCTCGTGGACAACGACAGTTCTTTTCTTTGCAGACTTTGGCACAGCGGAGTGCTTTACAAAGGTCTGTTTACAGTTCCAAAATGCTGTCTGCATTTTCATTGTGCGCAAGTGTCCGTGTCCTCCACTGGTTACCATTTAAGGTGATTTAATGGTGCCATACAAGAGCTTGGATGAAACCGATTAGAAAACCTTGTTGCAAGTCTTTAAACAACGATCGTGTCATTTGGTTGGTCAGTAGCTATGAACCATAAACTAGGTATGTTGTTATGATTGCTCTGTCTCCCTGAAGAAACAGTTTGTGTTCAAGTAAACGATGCATATAAAGACCAATATTTATATAACCTTTTGGACTGTATTACTTCAGTAGTGTACGATTTAATACAGACACCTTTTTGACTTTGAACATATTTACTTAAAATAACAAAAAGGCTGCATTTTTTTTCCTTTTTTTTCATGCAAACAGTACATTAAGTAAATCTTCATATTTAGTGAAATATACCTTTATAAAACATTTGCTGAACATAAAGCATTTTTGTATTTTTTTTTTTCAGAATTCTTCAAGCGGGCCAGATTGACATACCAAGTGAGCCAGTTTTGGCCTGCGGGCCGTATCTTTGACACCACCACCACCACTTTATAAATACACTATAAAAATTCACTACTACACACTGTAGAATTATATTTATATATTAAATATTTATACATTTTTATTTATTTATTGTGATTGCTCATGATCTGCCAGCACTACCTTTGCGATCAACTGGGAGATCCACTCTTTGGGCACCCCAGTTCTAGCCAATAGTTACCCAACGTAAGCAGATATGAAACATGAGATCATGATATAATGTGCAGAACAATGGACTGACTTCAATGTCTTGTTTTTGGGTAAATATAAAGGTGGGCATGTACCCACTTGCTGAAATACACAGTAATCCTCTTTAAACTCAGAAGAATTGGAAAGTTATCTGAGGGCAAAGCTAACACCAAGCTACGCCACAACTGGAACAGCATGAACACTTTTAATAAACAGTGTCTTTGAAGAGACAGATTTTGACAGTCACTGACTTTAGGTAAGTTATTTTGTATGGATATATTAGATACAAGTGTGGCAAAACACATATTAATGACATATATTTGTAATTTTGAGGCTAACCAAAATGGCAACTGGGCTAAAATGAAAATTCTAAGAAAAGAAAAAAACTCTTGAACACACAAACATGTGGAGTGAAATTAAAATTAAAAATTAAAATTGAGGTAAAAGTTAGTAAGGAAGACAACCTTTCAGTAGACAAAGTTGGAGAACAAGAGTTTACGAGGCGACCTCTCATCTTTTTTGGTCTTGTCGTGTTTGGTGTTTTTTACAAAACTGTGACTGTAGGAGAAGACACCGTGGGCAGGAAAAAACAAAAAAAAGAACAAATCGAGAAAGAAGTACAGTGGGAGAAGGATGTGGAAGAACGGTGAGGAGTAGTATGGGGGTTACAAGCACAAGGGGGAGACAAGCACAAGCGCCTTGGCAACACATAGAAAGAGGAAGAAAAGAGTTACCCATAAGTAGCCGCCGTTTCACCCGCTTGTCCACATCAGCTACTGACGTGGCATTGAACTCAGAGCTCTCAATTGCAGCCTCATCTTTCTCTAAAACACAAGTGACAAGGGGACAAACAGTGAGCAGCAGGTTAATGAGAAGCCCAAATGACCAGACGTTCAGCCCCTCTTGGCGTTTGAGAAAAAAACAAAAAAAACAAGGCCAAGAAGCAAGAAGCGATGGAAAAGAGCCAAAAAATCCCAGTTAGAGTGTTAATCCCTAATTAATTGACAAATCCCCCAGAGGAAATGAACAATAGAAGAAAATGATGGCAACTGTGTGTAGCTCACAAAAATTAAGCAAATGATAGACAACCGTAGAGAAAAGGAGGTGGGGATGTTTAGGGGTTTCATACGGAGAAAGTAAAGAGGGGTGATTCGGGGTTCAGGGATGGGGAAAAGGCTGGGGAACCTTTGTTCAGATGACATTTGTGTAGGTACTTTCTTACATTCTGTATTTTCAACCAAACAGGATTAAAAATGTAAGCAATTATGTCACTATGTCTGGAAGGTGTTAGGTAGAAGATCGAGGACAGGAAACTTTAATGATAGACTCAACAACAGAGTAAAAAGTGAAGCTGAGGACAATGGTGGAAAAGAAACGTGGACAGCTGATGAGCAGGTTGTATAAACTAACAGCAGAAATTGATGAAAATGGTAT